GGGATAAATCTCTGAATATCGGGCTCTTCCCAAGGGCCTAGGAAAGTAGAGGTATTATCATTATTGTTGTTGCTATTATTGTTATTGGGAGCCTCCAGTGGCGCAGTGGATTAAACCACTGACATGCTGAGCTGCTGACCGAAAGGTTGCTGGTTCAGATCCAGGGAGCGGGGTGAGCTCCCTCTGTTAGCCCCAGCTTCTGCCAACCTAGCAGTTTGAAAACATGCAAGTGTGAGTAGATCAATAGGTACTGCTCCAGTGGGAAGGTAAGTCGTGCCAGCCACATGAGGCGTCTACGGAAATGCCTACAAATGCCACTTTTGTAGCATTTTAAGTCCTCAGATGTGGTGCTGTTGTCAATTTTGGATGGAAGAACACCTTAGAGCAGGCTTGGGCAAACTTCAGCCCTCCAGGTAGGCTGTTAGGAATTGTGGGAGTTAAAGTCCAAAACACCTGGAGGGCCAAAGTTTGCCCATGCCTGCCTTAGAGTCGTGTTGGAAGACATAAAAAATTCCTAGAGAGAACATATTTTGTTGAATGTGGGTAAGTGACACTATGGTCTCACAAATATGGGGATCATATTGTACTCCTCACCCCAACTACCAGGGAAAAAGCACACACACAAGCACTAGGTGGACTATATATACATCTATGTATATATGGAATGGAAACTTTGACTCTCACAACTGTTTTGGTACAGAGCAATTTGATCTGCAGAGGCTCAGCTATTTTTGCTCTCCTTTGTTTATATCTTTAGTGCTCTTTCTTTCTTTCTTTCTTGGAAATATGCATGCTTTTATCTTTATGTTTATCTCGAATGGAACAAAGACATCCAAGAAAAAATGCATCAGAAGTGACATATATGCTCACAAGCCAACATCCTCTATGCACATACCTGCAGGCTTGTGCACGCACTCACACACACACACGAGCAAAGAACCGTTCTTTCTTATTCATTGTTGTTGGCACTGACTCTGGGTCTCAGCCAGGAGATACTCTGGTAGCCCTACCTGGAAATGGCCGAGACAGAGCCCAGAAACCTCCAACCCTTCGTCCCAGATCATCCCTCTAATGAAGGGTTCCTCAACCTTTCTAAACAGAGGGCCAGTTCACGGTCATAGAATCCTAGAGTTGGAAGAGACCTCATGGGCCATCCAGTCCAACCCCCTGCCAAGAAGCAGGAAAATTGTATTCAAAGCACCCCCGACAGATTGCCATCCAGCCTCTGTTTAAAAGCCTCCAAAGAAGGAGCCTCCATCACACTCTTAGGCAGAGAGTTCCACTGCTGAATAGCTCCCACTTTTAGGAATTTCTTCCTTATGTTCAGGTGGAATCTCCTTTCCTGTAGTTTGAAGCCATTGTTCTACACAGTTTGGGGATGGGACAGGACTATAGTTTGTTGTTGTTGTTTGCCTTCAAGTCATTTCAAACTTAAGGCAACTCGATCACAGTTTTGTTGTCAAGCTGTATTCAAAGGGGATTTGCCTTTGCCTTCCTTTGAGGCTGAGAGAGTGGGAGTTGCCTAAAGTCACCCAGTGGGTTCAGAGCCACAGAGGTTCGAACCACTGCACCGTGCTTTCTGAATTCCTTTCCTCTTTGTTTTTCTACCTACCTACCTTTCTTCCTTCCTTTTCTTCTTCCCCACCTCCTTTTCTTTCTTTTCCTTCCTTCCTTCCTTCTTTCCTCCCTGCCTCCCTCCATTTTGGAGGTAGCAGAAATTTGGTGGAAAGGATTCCCTCTATCTTGTGAGAAGACAGAGAGAGAGGAAAGGAAAGGAGAGTTTAGGAGCAAGAAAGGAGTGCAGAGGATCCCTCTGTTTGGAGGGAGGTAAAGGGGGGAAAGAAAAGGAAATAAGAAAGAAAAGGAGAGTTAAGGAACAAGAAGAGGGTGACAGAGGAACTTGGTGGGCCAGATCTGGCTCGCAGGCCATAGTTTGGCGCCCCCTGCTCTGATGAGTCACTATGTGGAATAGAAAACTGGATGAGATACCATTCCTTGTAACCATCATGATAAAGGCTTCTAGGAGTTAATGTTGTGTGCTTCTCTTCTGATCAGGAAGTGGAACAGGAAGCTGAAGAAGTACGAGTTGGGGATTTGGGGCTAAGTGTTGAGGAGAAAGAAGAGGACGAGGAAAACATACTTCTGATTCCTATGTTTTAGGAATGCCGAAGGGTAAAAGAAGAAAGGAGAAGGTGTTAGGTTTCATCCCTGACTGCACAAGTCTCCAGTCCTCAATGAGTAGCTAGATTAGATAGATAGGATTAGAGTGGGGGATTCCTTCCCCACATTCCTATGCATGTTTATCCCAGAAGGGGCTTTGTCTTTACTCTTCTTGCTTGCCACTATCTCCTCCCCCTTTGAAGATGTAGCAATGGAATCTCTGTGAGGGATGAGGGAACTTCATCTTTAAAGGTATTTTTATTGCCCTGGGTTTGGCGATGTGGTCATTCTCCATTTTGGCCCTTCTTCTTCTGCTTTTGTCTTCCTTCAAGTGAGAAGGCACTTTGTCTTTTTTCTAGGCAAAATGTAGCTGCATGGATACTTTTGTTACTTTTATCCTTTTACCTTCCTTAGAAGCTAGCTTAGTAAGCTAGTTAGCTCCAAGACATTTTCTTTCCAGAATTGACTTTTTTTTACTTCAGTAAATATATTTTTGGAACCTAAAGTTGTGACTCTGCAATCCTGATCGATCCTCTTGAATGGAAGATTATCCTGGCTTACCACGCGTAAGTTTCTGCTGGTTATGAACTGTGTTTCTGGCACTCTGCTATATTTTTTTGTGGAATCACCCCAAGTAAAGGCTATTTTGAGCCTAACAGCTCCAATTCCCAACAGATGGTCAGCTAGAATTGCTGCAAGGATTCTGAGCAATCAGACATTGTCCTAGGAACACCTCTCCTGGGAGCTGGGCACTATAAATCAGCAGGAAAACAAGTGGTCAATGCTGGCAGCAACCGTTCTACTTAGTGCTTTTGTGCTCCGGTTTTCTTGCTTGCAGCTCCAGCATCTGCAAAGTGCCTCACAAAGATGTTTGCCAAAGACTTTTGTATGACAGCCTGTGCAGCCTGTGATTGTGTTTGATGATTATGCTGATTTGGATGATGGGAATGAAAATTATGTTTATGTTGAAATTGATTTTCATGATGGGAATGGGGATACTGTTTATGTAGATGTTCCTGAAGGGAATGGGGATGTTGATTTATTTTCTGGGCCAGGATTTGGGGATGTGGGGCCGTATTGCAAGGGCCTGAATGCAGTTCAAAACACATGTCACAGAGGCTTGGGTTGCTGCAAGAGGATTCGCAAGGTCTCAAGCTTAAGAAAGACTCTGTGTCACAGTTCCCTGATCAGTTATCTAGGGCTGAGTTCCAGGTGTAGAATTTAATGGAGTGGAAGTGAGGTTTTGAACAGGAAAAGTTCTTTCAGTCAACAAAGACAGACAGGTCAACAATTAAGGTGCTCGGCCAGAATCTAACAGAAGTTGGAAGTGAAACCAAAATTAAGAAAGAATCCTTTTCTAGCTGTTTGGGAATCAGGGCAGAGTTAATAGGTGCCTAGCAAGAAATCTTGCTTCAGTCGAGGCAACGTTAGATTCACATCAAGTTCCTAGTGCCAAGATCTTGGTTGTTCTATGAAATGCCTTTGTTCCGTGCATGGATTCAAGTGCCTTTGCTGTTATTTTGCCTATGAATTCAAGTATCTAGTTTCATGGAATTCTTTCGACTTTAGCTCTTTGGACTCTTTGTTCCTGTTTCCTTTTCAACCAATTGGATTACCTTTTACTGTGGATTGCTTTTTATTGCTTTGGCTTTTTATAATCCTTAATAAACTGCTTGCTAATTTTACCCATCTGATGTTTGTGTTTAAAGTCAGAGGTGATTTTGCTCTGGAGTACAACAAAGACTCTTGTTTTGTGTCCAATGTAAGACTTTTTGCTTTGCTTCTGGGATTTATCTTCTGTTCCCTTGCTGCTGTTTGGTACATTAATATCATTTTGCTGAAGTCATGTTTTTTTAGTTGCTTTAACCCTTGTTGTAAGGCTGTTTATGGGGTGAAACAGGACAGTTATAGTCCAAAAGAGTCATTCTGTGCTGGTACGGCTGTACCAGGAGCTCCAACTTTATTTTCTTTCTGTTATCTGTTTGCAGTCATAGGGCAGGCCACCTGTCCTTCATAATTAAGCTTTGGTTCCGCCCCTTGTTCAGGGCTCTGGGAGGGAAAAGAGCTATTTTTGGTCAGTCTCACATAAGGAAGTTAAACTATAGGATGTAGACCAGCTCGTCCCATAGAAAAGCTTCTTTTCTCAAGAACATCCGGGGAAACAGAAACAGAAATTCCAGGGGAAAGGTCCCAAGGCTCTGGCTGAGAGCTCACAGCCTCTCAACCTCGCAGCAATCAGAGGGAAAACACTCCTGAAGTTTTCAAAGAATTCTCGAAGGGAGGACAGTATTACAGATCCACTGAACTCCAGCTGAAATATCTACAAGCCTTGGCTAGTAGGTCTACTCGATACCCAGACACATTTGGAATCGGTAGTAGGACCCACACCGATGAGGCATAGATAGTAAACAGCCTGGGAGAGGTTAAATAGGGTTTTTTTCTTACAGAGAAAGTACAGTTAATCAAAGTCAAGTACCAGTCCATTGAGGACTAGACTAAGAAAGCCTTGAAGTGTTGTTTGAACTATTGAAGATTTGTTGTTTGTTCCAAAATAAAGACTTTGTTGTATCATCAAAGACTCTAAAGACCATCACTTCAGAAAATCCCCGAGAATCTCTCTTTGAGGCCCCCTGGCTTCCTGCTGGGTTTAAAGTATATGTCCTATAGAAAAGACAGCTGTTACAGGCCCAGCGCACGACAGAACACATTCTCCTTCCACCTTCATGGGACCGACTTCTGGATCCCATTAAGCAAGGCTTTCAAATTCTTAATCTTGTTGCAAATGAAATAGACAACCAAGTGGCACACTTTGCACCCATCCCATGAAAGACAAAACCCCGTTTGAAACAACTCTGAATGTATTAATTTATAAAAGTGATAGAACAAGTACATAAATAATGGTTACAAGTTACATGTCTTGGGAAAGGTCGCGGAAGGAAGGTGGAATTCAATCCAAAGGCAGGCAGGGATGTATATTGGTTAATTGTAAGCAAACTCTCGCCATCGTGGTTCTTGAAGAGAAGTTCCTGTACAAATAAATACACACCCTGTATCCCACCTGTCTCATCACAGTACATATCATCTGTCTTCCAAAAATCATCACAATAATTAAAAAGAATGTCCTGTACAGCAATCTTTCCACCCATCCTATCCTCGCCCCACAGTGGTACTTTCCAAAAAAGTGACAGACCACTGACTCCATACAAATGAGACCAAGTGCTTATGAGAAGGCAAAGTGTATATTGCATTGCAGAGAAGTGTATACAGTGGGCCATTGGTATCCAGTGGGGTTTGGCTCCAGGATCCCCGGTGGATATCAAAAATCTGTGAATGCCCAAGTTTTATTATATAGGTTGGCACAGTAAAACGGCAAAGTCCTCTTTATATTAAACGGCGGACAACTCAAAAGAGAGACAGAGGATCGGCGAAATGGCAGGAGGCTATAGCAGGATATGCCGGCGCATGAACTTGGCGTGCAGCAAAATAAAGCTTTGCTTTCAAGATTTTATTTTTCTAAATATTTTTGAGTCGTGGTTGGCTGAATTCATGGATATGGAGGACCAACTGTATTGCTTTAGATTTGAGGATAATGACCTTGCGGATTAATCTGGCTCTGTTAAATCAACATCTAGACCTGCCTCCAACTTTGTTTGCATCTGCATTGTAGAATTAATACAGCCTGACACCACTTTTACTGACATGGCTTATAGAATCATAGAATCGTAGAGCTGGGAGAGACCTTGTGGTCTCCTGCCAAGTAGCAGAGAAAATCACATTCAAAGCACCCCTAAAAGATGGCCATCCAGCCTCTGTTTAAAAGCCCACAAAGAAGGAGCCTCCACCACATGCTGGGGCAGAGAGTTCCACTGCTGAACAATTTTCACAGTCAGGAAGTTCTTCCTAATGTTCAGGTGGAATCTCCTTTCCTGTAGTTTGAAGCCATTGTTCCTAGTCCTAGTCTCTGACTCCAGGGCAGCAAAAAACAAGCTTGCTTCCTTCTCCCTATGACTTCCCCTCACATCTTGATCCATGGCCCTCATCATGTCTCCTCTCAGTCTTCTCTTCTGCAGGTTAAACATGCCCAGCTCTTTAAGCTGCTCCTCATAGGGCTTGTTCTCCAGACCCTTGATCATTTGAGTCACCCTCCTCTGAACACATTCCAGCTTGTTGACATCTCCCTTCAATTGCCCATAACTGGACATAGTGTGATTCCAGGTGTGGTCTCACAAAGGCACGTTAGAGGGGTAGTGGGACTTTCCTGCATTTAGACAGTAGACTCCTATATATGCAGGCCAAAATCCCAACATCACATTGTTGGCTCATGTTTAACTTGTTCCCCTTGACGACTAATGCTATGAAATGATGTGAGTTGTAGATGGGTGAGGAACCAGCAATATTTTGCAAGATCTTGTAAAATGGTGACTCCCTGAGCCTTGACAGAAAAAAGGTGTGAAACTGCATTAATTCAACCTTGTACATGCCGAAATGTAGATGGTGCAGCATCCATTATGGTTACTTTGTCAAGCTTTTTCTCAATCAACCCAGAGACACAACTAACTCACCCTTCCCCATCAGGGACTCTCCATACACGTTAAATTGGGATGTAATCTTTCACTGATTTCTTTCTCAAAGGAAACGAGTTTGCCATTTGTTCTTCCCTCTACCAGAAAGCCTTTAAAAATATGCCATTGGTATTTTCTGCACAAATGCTCTAGCCTAGCGGTTCCCAACCTTTTTTGACCAGGGACTACTTTGACCAGGGACTACTCTCCAACATTAGTACCAAAAGGGTTACGAATCAGTTTTTGGTCAACTTTAGATTCAATTTGGTTATTTGGAGTGCTGATTCAGAAAATTGCATTGGATAGACCACATAAGCTTTAATTTCTGATACAGAACATATGACATCCAGTAGTTGCCATCTGCTCACCAACAGAAAACCATATTTAATCATCTAGAGCTGATGTGGTAGTAGCAATCTTTTGTGGGTAATCATTCTCTCCCCTCCCGACATCCATGTTGCCTTGGCACCATAAGAGAGTTTCGAGACACCAGTCGCTCTCATTGTCGTGTGGTTTCAAGTCAACGGTGTAGTAATGGTGAGGCCGTGGACCATATTTTCGTTCTTGTGGACCACTGGTGGTCCATGGTCCAGAGGTTGGGAACCACTGCTCTAGCCAGAGATTTAGCCTGTGCAAAACATGTGCATATGCCAAAAAACCTGTGCAGAAAAGATTGTTTCCTATGCAACAACAAAAATTGAAAGTTTCATGAAGAATCAGGCACAAAGTACAACATTACTTGCCAGTCCAGAATTGTCATTAGGATTTCCTGAAACTTTAGAAACTAGATGCTCAACCCCTTTCCGAATTTATTTCGGATATTCTTTCCATCTCTACCAACTATATGAATTTTCTTTGCACTGGTTGGTGGAGGTTCTCTAAGGTTTCTGGCAGGATCTCCTCTTGGAGATATTGGGTGCATCTACACCAGGCATGGGCAAACTTGGACCCTCCATATGTTTTGGACTTCAACTCCCACCATTCCTAACAGCCTCAGGCCCCTTCCTTTTCCCCCTCAGCCGCTTAAGCGGCTGAGGGGGAAAAGGAAAGGGCCTGTGGCTGCTAGGAATGGAATTAATGTAGTTTGAGACCACTTTAACTACCATGGCCCATTGTTATGGGGTCTTGGGAGTGGTAGTTTGGTGAGACATCTGTGAATGCTAAAGACCTTGTGAAATGACAACCTTCGTAATCCCATGGCGGTTAGTGGCGTCAAACTGTATTAATCCTACAATGTAGAATCTGAATCCGAGATCATCGGCATCTATCTTACACCTGATCTTCTGAGGAGTGCTTTTCTTATGCTGCAAATGCACTGAGCAGAGAAACCTACCCAGCTCCATTCACTCCTTTTCACCAAAAACAAATGCAAGGATGTGCACATTGTTAGGGAAGGTGCATAGTAATAGTATAGCCGTGAATACAAATAAGTGAATGATGAAGTGAGAGCTGATCTGTTTAAAATCATAGCTCTGATTATGACCTGTGAGTCATAAAGAAGTATGTGGTATCTGAGGATGATTTTCACCCCATTTTCCCACCCCAATGGGCTGTATTTGCTCCTTTTGGTGGAAACAGAAATTCCCAGGAGGTCACATAGAATCACAGAGCTGGAAGAGACCTAATGGGTCATCCAGTCCAACTTCCTGCCAAGAAGCAGGAAAATTGCATTCTAAGCACCCCCAACAGATGGCCATCCAACCTCTGTTTAAAAGCCTCCAAAGAAGGACTCTCCACCACACTCCGGGGCAGAGAGTTCCACTGCTGAACAGCTCTCACAGTCAGGAAGTTCTTCCTAATATTCAGATGGAATCTCCTTCCTTGTTTCTGATACAATTATCTCAAAATTGATACAATTATCTCAAAGTTGATATAATGTACAGTGCTGAGACTATACTATATCCTTAACAGATGTTCTTCCTAATGTCCAGATGGAATCTCCTTTCATCTTATATTCCAAAAATGTTGGCCAATATTGCTGCCACCAACTCGAGGTTAACCACTGAACTGATTAGTAACTTGTCCATGTGTTGTCTCACTACTCAACCACTCATTCAATGGGTCTACTATTGATGGAAAAAAGCCAACAGGGAGTGTGTCTACATTGTGGAATGAATGCAGTTTGGCCCCACTTTAACTGCCATGGCTCAATGCTATGGAATACTGGGTGTTGTGGTTTTACAAGGACTTGAGCCTTCTCTTCCAAAAAGTGTTGGTGCCTTGGCAAATTGCAACTCCCAGGATCCCATTGTATTGAGACAAGGCAGTTAATGTGGTGTCGAACTGCAGTGCAGATGTACTCCTGGGGAAGACTATGTTGGTTGCAAATAGGGAACAAAATACCAATCTCTTCGACTGAAAAAAAGGCATGTGCAGGTCTATGTTAAAGATTGTGTATGTCACAAAACAGGATATCGGTTACCGTCTCCAACTAACAAGAAATAGTTTTCTGCCTTAGTATGAGCCTGGTTCAAACTTTTCCAAAACCTTTAAGGAATGACATGAAAACAAACCTTCCTTTTATTCCTTCCAAGCTTCAGTGGCGAATGGGACCCTGTATTTTTGGACTACAGGACCCATAATCCCCCAGCTCCACTGTCTGAGTAGTTAAGAGATTATAGTTTCCCAAAAACCTATGTTTTCCAGGCTCTGAGAGCATCCTAGGTTTTCTGTTTGGAGTTCAATGACCAGATCTAGGCGCAAAGCTGCAAGTTGTAGTTTCCCAGGACCTTATAAGCTCTGAATAATGTAGAGTATCCCTGGGTTTTATGGAGAGGGATTTAAAGGCCAGATGTATAAATATTGTTTTGCATGAGATGAATGTTGTCTCGCAGGGGAGGTTTGGTCTTTCAGGCAAGCGAAATCCGCCCGCAGTCCAGCTGCAGATCCAGATCTTCCTCCGTTTCCCTTTTCAGTGCGGTCCTTTCTCTTCCTCCTCCTTTTCCTTTCTTAACAGTGGTCCTTCTCAGACTTTTCGAGGTACAACACCTTCACCAGGTCTTCCAGTTCAGTCCTGCACAGCCGGCTCTCACACATCTGGCTTATTTGGGCCTCTCCTTCACTGAATATCTTCCACTGGCCTGAAACCGAGAAAACCAAAAAGCATCCCTCACTACGATGGCAAGACATCCAAGAAGTCACAGCCAATGGGACTTTGCATGATGATAAATAGGACTTCCCCCACCTTTCCCCCTCAAAAATAAAGACACCAACTTACTCAGTGTAGTCTTTGTGATCTTCCTAAAGTGGGAAAGTTGCCTGAATTCACTCTTGGATATGATCTCCGTATTGAAATGGCTCAGGATACCTACAGGTAAAAAAATATGGTGGATTTTGTAAGGCTATGTACAATTCCATATTAGAAATGTTCCAAAATCTGCTCCCACTTTAACTGCCATGGCTCAGTGATATGGAATCATGGAAATTGTAGTTTTACAAGGTCATTAGCAGGCTGCAAAGGTCCAACATGGCTGGTTTCTGAAGGAGAACCTGCTTTGCTCACCTTTCCTAATGGTCCAGACATGGACCTCGACCTGGGATGGCTGATCTGTCTCCAAAGCAATTTTTCGGATGATTTCTCCTTCTTCTGTTAGAACGGCTTCGTAAACCGGGAGGGTCTCTTCCCCACAGTAATATTCTTTACTGTCAAGCTCCTGACTCTCCATTTCATCTGCAGAAGAAATAAAAAAAATGGATCTGGAGGTCATATTGTATTTTAATTGCACATTTAAAATTATTTCAATAGTGCAAATTGCTTAATTTGTACTATTGAAATAATTAACATGCTAGGGTTCAGCACAGCAGATTAACCGCCAGCTGCAGTAAATCTTGCCAACTGAAAGTTTGACAGTTTGAAGCTCAGAGTGAGATCCTGGCTTTTCAGCCCAGCTTCTGCCTACCTAAAGGTAAAGGTAAAGGTAGTCCCCTGACAATAAGTCCAGTCAGGTCTGACTCTGGGGTGTGGTGCTCATCTCCATTTCTAAGCCGAAGAGCCGGCGTTATCCGTAAACACCTCCAAGGTCATGTGGCCAGCATGACTGCATGGAGCGCCATTACCTTCACACCTGAGCGGTACCTATTGATCTACTCATATTTGCATATTTTCGAACTGCTAGGTTGGCAGAAGCTAGGGCTGACAGCGGAAGCTCACGTCGCTCCCCGGAATCGAACCTGCGACCTTTTGATCAACAAGCTCAGCAGCTCAGTGCTTTAACCCACTGCGCCACCGGGGGCTCCCTCTGCCTACCTAGCAGTTCGAAAATAGCAATATGAGTAGATAAATAGGGACCGCTTTAAAGCAGGAAGTTATTTAAGGCACTCATAAGGAAATGCCAGAAAAATGCTGAGGAGGAAGTTTACAAACAAAGCTCTTTGGCAGGGAAGATGGAGCGACAGCACCCCCATGGCCGGAACCCAGCACAGCCTCCAAGATGCCAAAGATGGGGAAAAGCCTATATAACTCTATTTATGTACAGTTATCTGTCTTGCAATGGTATTACAGCATTGAATGTTTGCTGTATATGTGTTGGGGTAAGAAGGGCGGAATATAAATACTGCAAATAAATAAATAATAAATAATTCAGTCTAAAGTTGACCTTTGGTATACTTTTAGCCAATTCATTTTAATTTGAGTCTTAGTTTGGTGAGAAAAGAGGGGTTACATAATAATAATAATAATAATAATAATAATAACAACAACAACAATAACAACCACCACCACCACCACCACCTCACGATCGTGTTAAAAAACAGAGTGTGGATTGTCGATGTTGCAATCCCAGGCGACAGCAGGATTGCAGAGAAACAACTGGAAAAGCTGACACAATATGAGGATTTGAAGATCAATCTGCAAAGACTCTGGCACAACCCAGTTAGGGTGGTCCCGGTGGTGATCGGCACACTGGGTGCAGTGCCTAAAGACCTTGGCCTGCACTTAAACACAATTGGCACTGACAAGATTACCATCTGCCAGCTGCAAAAGGCCACCGTACTGGGATCTGCACACATTATTCGCCGATACATTGCATTGTCCTAGACACTTGGGAAGTGTCCGACGTGTGATCCAATACAGCAGCCAGCAGAGTGATCTTGTTTGCTGTGGACTCATCTTGTTGTGTTTCAAATAATAATATATGGCAGCAGCAGCAACCACAACAGTGTTACATTAGAAGCAGGGGCTTTTTTGTAGCTGCTCCAGTATAATAGTTCTCCCTTCTGTGGGTTTGCACAGTGCCATATTTGTTAGCCATTGTGTAATGTTGGCCATTGCGACATTTGGAAAGGCTGTGGCCAGTCAATACATAAAGTGGCCATTAATTTTAAAAGCTCATTGTGAGGTGAGTAAGTTTTTACTTGCTTGAAAAATTGCACAGATCTTAGAACATCAAGATAACTTAAACTCAAAGTGACATGTGCTTGTAAGCCAGCGAGTCCTTTTGGGAGATGGTGGCAGGATATAAATAAAAGATTATTATTATTATTAGAAACACAACAAGATGAGTCCACAGCAAACAATATCACTCTGCTAGCTGTTGTATTGGATCACACGTAGGACACTTCCCAAGTGTAAGGTGGCCTTCTGCAGCTGGCAGCTGGTAATTTTGTCAGCGCCGATTGTGTTTAAGTGCAGGCCAAGGTTTTTAGGCACTGCACCCAGTGTGCTGATCACCACTGGGACCACCTTGACTGGCTTGTGCCAGAGTCTTTGCATCATCATCTTCATCATCATCATATCATCCCTACCTGGACAGACTTTGCAGCACTTTCCTTCGATTTTCTGCGGCTGCTTGCAGGGATATTGTTCAGGGCAGGTGATCTTTTTGCATTCTTGTTTGGTGACGTTGCAGGTACACAAGACGCATTCCACGATTCCATAGGAGCGTAGGTTCGGGTGCCAGGACTCTCCATGGGAATAGGTTTTCCCATTAGAAACACACACTGGGATGGAGAAAAGCCACAGAGATATTAGGAGACATCTACACCAGGACATAATGGCTGCAATCACAACTCTTGGCTACCTCCCATGACATATCATAATCTGGAATGCAGAATAATGACATTTTCAATCATCATCATCATCATCATCATCATCATCATCATCATCTATTTATTTATGACATTTATATGCCACCCTTCTCACCCCGAAGGGGACTCAGAGCAGCTTACAAGATATATATACATACAATATATTATATAATTAGCATAGTACAATATCAGTATTATATATTACTATATTGTACTATACCATTATATTGTAATATTATATTTTAATATTATTAGTAATATTATTTTATTATATTATATTACATATAAAATAAAATTATTATTTTAAAATAAAATATCATCATCATCATCATCATCCTGCTTCCCTCTCCTAGAAGAGATGTTTCTTCTACAGCAGCGGTTCCCAACTTTTGGGCCTCCAGGCATTTTGGATTTCAACTCCCAGAAATCTCAGCCAGTTTACCAGCTTTAGGAACTGTGGGAGCTGAAGTCCAAAACACCTGGAGGCCCAAAGGTTGGAAACCACTGTTCTACAGCCATGTTGCATTGTTGTCGAGTTTATATTGTGTGGATTTGCTTTACTATTTTATATTGTTACTAGCCGTCTCCTGCCTCACATTGCTGTGGTGGTCATGGGGGTTCTGTTTGGGAGGTTTGGCCCAATTCTATCGTTGGTGGGGTTCAGAATGCTCTGTGATTGTAGGTGAACTACAAATCTCAGTAACTACAACTCCCAAATGTCAAGATTCAATTTTCCCCACCAGTGTTCACTTTTGGGCATATTGAGTATTCGTGCAGAGTTTGGTCCAGATCCATCATTGTTTGAGTCCACAGTGCTCTCTGGCTGTAGGTGAACTACAATTCCAAAACCAAAGGACACTGTCTACCAAACCCTTCCAGTATTTTCTGTTGGTCATGGGAGTCCTGTGTGCCAAGTTTGGTCTAATTCTATTGTCGGTGGGGTTCAGAATGCTCTTTGATTGTAGGTGAACTATAAATCCCAGCAACTACAACTCCCAAATGACAAAATCATTTTTTTTGAGTGAAGGACATACATTGGACTGTTAGGTGTCTTGTGTCCAAATTTGGTGTCAATTCCCCCAGTGGTTTTTAAGTTCTGATGGTATCACAAGCGAACATTACATTTTTATTTATATTAGATTGTATTTTGTTATTGTATTTTATTTTGTTATTGTAATTTTTTTGGTGCATTTTGTTTTTTGTATTCTGTATTTTACTGTGTTGTATTGTATTTTTAAAAGGGCTTGCCTCATGTTAGCTGCCCTGAGTCCCCATTGGGGGGATGGTGGCGGGATACAAATTATTATTATTATTATTATTATTATTATTATTATTATTATTGGATGCCTTATAGTCATTTCTGACTTAAGCTGACCCCAAGGCAACCCTATCACAGGGGTTTCGGGGCAACACTTATTCAGAGGACTTCCTCTGAGGCTTTTTTTTGTCATGTCAGGAGAGACTTAACTGCAAGTCGCTTCTGGTGTGAGAGAATTGGCTGTCTGCAAGGATGTTGCCCAGGAGACGCCTGGATGATTTGATGTTTTTATCATCCTTGTGGGAGGCTTCTCTCATGTCCCTGCATGAAGAGCTGAAGCTGATAGAGGGAGCTCATCTGCCTCTCTCCGGATTCCTCTGAGGCTGAGAGTGTGTGACTTGCACCATGGCAGGGTAAGGATTGGAATCCTGTTCCCCATACTTGGCATCTAACACTCTAATCACCACACCAGTCCCATACCTTGGATTAAGAACCACTGCATTCAGGATGTAGACCCACTGAATTCAGTGGGATGCACTGATAGTTTAGTAGGCCTCCAGGGTTTTTAAAAAACCCTTTTGCATTAGGATGTTCACAATGGCCGAAAAGTTTGTGGCACAGCCGTACAGACCGAGGAATCTACAAACAAAATCTGGGAAACCCATTTGGCTTGGCTAGCATCCAAATGAGCCTTTTGGGGGGTCTCTGAAACAGCTGCGGTGAACTTCATGGCTGCCGATCTGGAATCCCAGGAATTTGGAGTTGTGCAGCATGGAGCCAAAAGTAGGACAAGAAGGCTTTTGAGTGTTGTTAGACCTGACTCCATCTCTCTGTTAGCCAGAGCATCTTTGATTTCCATCAGGAACTCAATGCTAAATTAGGGGACATGGGGGTGCATCTACATTGTAGAATAAATGCAGTTTGACATCTCTTGAAGTGCCATGGCTCAGTGCAATGGAATCCTGGGAGTCACGACAGTAAAAGAGGAGTCAAAATACATCAATTCTACAGTGGAGATGCAGTCATGGTTCCATGGAACACTTTGATCAAACGTATCCCAAACCATTAAGAATGAAGATTCTTCAGCCAAACTTTACATTTTGGTTGGAATTCTCTTGGGACTGTAAACAAGAGTGACCACAGTTTATGCTAATGTAATTACACTTTCCAATGTTGTACAAGGCATGTAATACCTCCTTACGCAATGTTTTTGTCCAACCATTGCCTAACGGATGTGGTGAAATTAAGATGGTTGGGAAAACTGAGCTCTTCTCAAAATGGGTATGTCGGGTCACACATTCTCAGCCTGGAAAACTGTGCAATAGGGCTACCATAAGTCAGGAATGACTTGAAGTGCACACAACAACAACAACTCTAGGAGTAGTGATACAGAAATTAAACATGCACCGGGACTGTGGCACAGCTGGCTGGGAGTCAGATGCATTAAGGTCATGAGTTCGAAGCCAGCCTGGGTTGGAGTGAGCTTTCGACCATTGTGTAGCTTGCTGTCGACCTTTGCAGCCCGAAAGACAGTTGCATTTGTCAAGTAGGAAATGTAGGTGCCGCTTATGTGGGGAGGCTAATTTAACTAATTTACAATGCCATACAATCTCCAGCAAGCAAGCAAAGAATGAGGAAGTACTTCATCAGTGTCACAAATGTATTGTATTGTATTGTATTGTATTGTGTGTGTGTGGATATATATATATATATAGTAAGCTGCTCTTGTCCCCTTCGGGGTGAGAAGGGCAGTATATAAATGTCGCAAATAAATAAATAAATGGACAGTGAAGCGACAGCTCCCCCGGTGGCCAGAATACCCTCATGAAAGCTGGAAAGTTAAATAGCCTCTGTGTGTCTGTCTATATATGTTGTGTGTCTATGGCATTGAATGTTTGCCATGTATATGTACATTATAATCCGTCCTGAGTCCCCTGCGGGGTGAGAAGAGTGGTATATAAATACTGTAAACAAATAAATGATAAATAAACTGGGAAAAATATTCACAAGTAAGACCATTTCCAGTCATGTGATTTTTGGGGGAGGCTAACAGAGTGATCCATTGTTCAAGAAACATATGAAAAGCTGATGATGGATGAGATCCTAGACCAGGCATGGGCAAACTTCATCCTTCCAGGTGTTTTGGACTTCAACTCTCACAATTCCTAACAGCCGGTAATATATTGGGGGGAGGGGGGGGGAGATCATATCCAGACAGTGTCTGGGTTGGACTGATCACTCTCAAAGATTTTTTGAAACCACAAAGTCTTCAAACTCTTATGAAAAGAGGGGAGGGATGGGGCCTGTCTTATTTCCCTTGGAAGGGCATTCCAGAGGTGGGGGGCCACCACCAAGAAGGCCCTCTCTCTCATCCCCACCAACTGTGCTTGTGACGGTGGTGGGAGCGAGAGGAGGGCCTCCCCGGAGGATCTTAGAGTTCGCGCCGGTTCATAGATGGAGATGTGATCGCGAAGATAGGCGGGGCCCGAACCATTTAGGGCTTTATAGGTCATTACCTGCACCTTGAATTTGGCTCGGCAACTTATCGACAGCCAATTAAGCTGTTTTAATAGGGGCGTTTTATGCTCCCTACAGTTTGCTCCAGTAAGGAGCCTAGCTGACACCCGTTGTACCAGTTGTAATTTTCGGGCCATCTTCAAAGGCAGCTCCATGTAGAGCGCATTGCAATAGTCCAATCTGGATATAACCAACTGGTTCTCAACCTGTGGGTCCCCAGATATTTTGGCCTTCAATTGCCAGAAATCCTAACAGCTGGCTGGGATTTCTGGGATTTGTAGGCCAAAATACCTGGGAATCCACAGGTTGAGAACCACTGGATTAGAGGAAAGGACAAGAAGAAGGATCTCCCTTCAATCCTTCCCCATGGGCTCATTTTAAGGGCTCAGGACAATCCATTTGGCACCCAAAACAGTGTCTGGGGGGAACCACTTTGGGATGGCGCTCAAGAGCAACTGCCAAGATGGCGAGCCTGCAATAAGTGCCTTCTTTTGTCCAATGGCAGATCCAACCCTGATAACGGTCTGCATTTTAATTTGACTCCCAAGTTTTGGGGAAAGTCATTGAAGGGCAGAGTCCTCACAAAGGGAAGGTTTTTTAGTTGTAGCATGCTCTCCACCAGCTAGAAAACTCAGATGCCCAAACAGAATACATTGTTTCACTGTCTCAAAGTACAGTGGGACATAAGACCCCTGAATTCTGTGTGAAGTTAGATCTCCAGTTAATTAATAACACTCCCATTAATTGGAATGAACAAAATGCATAGAGACAAAGACTCTGCCCGCATTCCAGGGGGATTTTTTCCTTTCTTTTTCTATCCAAAAAGGAGTGCCCAAGCTCCCCTGATGTGGTCTGGCGCATGGGAAATGTGCTATTCATTTGGTGGCTTTTTATGTACCGGAGCCAATCGGTTAGAAATCGCTTTGATGATAGAGTGGTGTGTGAACCGGAGGTCGGAGGAACAGGAGCAGGCGGGGACTTTGGGATCCGACATGAAACGCCGTCCCGCCGCAATGTTATTCCATGATTGTTCAGGTGGATAATAAAGACTCCATGGCCAACATTCCTTCAGGGAGTTAATACCTGGAAAGATTAGTTGGCCATAAATCAAATGCTTTTAACATGTTCTGGGCCACTTTCGAGAGCCCGTGGACTGTTGGTTTTGCATTGAATGGCTTTCTCAACATCACAATGGTTTTTTTTAAAAAAGTATTCTGGGTTTCATCTTCCAAATCTTCCAGATCATTCAAATACCAGCTCAAAATCTGATGGGGATTTCAGGCCTTGGCAATTATGCAGGGGGCATGGGACTATTTTAATTTCCCATATATTTGTCCTGGAATGTTATTTTTTTGCTGCCATTATGGCTGCTTTTCAACATTTACACAGTATAACCACACATCCACAGGGAATATATTTCAGGATCTCCAAAACTGCAGATAGTAGTGAACCTTACTAAAATGGTTTCTAGTAAAAGCATACTATAGATCCGGAGGGCCTCGGAAATGCCTAGAGAGGACACCTCCCTATGCACAATTAGGTTTTCCATTGCAATTCTATAGTCAACTTCCAATGGAAACATGCCATGGAATTGCCTCGAGGACCTAGAAAATACATAAGGTAAAGGTAAAGGTAGTCCCCTGTCATTAAGTCCAGTCATGTCTGACTCTGGGGTGTGGTGCTCATCTCCATTTCTAAGCCTAAGAGCCAGCGTTGTCCGTAGACACCTCCAAGGTCATGTGGCCGGCATGACTGCATGGAGTGCCGTTACCTTCCCGCCGGAGCGTACCTATTGATCTACTCACATTTGCATGTTTTCGAACTGCTAGGTTGGCAGAAGCTAGGGCTGACAGCGGAAGCTCACGCTGCTCCCCGGAATCGAACCTGCGACCTTTCGATCAACAAGCTCAGTAGCTCAGTGCTTTAACCCACTGTGCCACCGGGGGCTCCTCATAAAGATGATGTATTTTGTTAGATGTTAGGGTTTGTGTTCTATTATGCTTTGAGGAGGTCATAGAATCATAGATTTGGAAGAGACCTGGGCCATCCAGTCCAACTCCCTGCTAAGAAACAGGAAAATCGCATTCAAAGCACCCCTGACAGATGGCCATCAAGCCTCTGCTTAAAAGCCTCCAAAGGAGCCTCCACCACACTCCAGGGCAGAGAGTTCTCCTGCTGAACAGCTCTGAACTGGTCTGTGGGGATTTGGAGGATAAGAGAACATGATTTGCTATGGTTTGGTTACATTTTAGAGCAGTTTGGGGTACAAGAAAAACAAGGACTACAATAATGTGAGATGATGTATATATAATTTGCCTACTAGATAGACTTTGGAAATAATATAGGAAAAATGTATTGTCGAAGGCTTTCATGGCCAGAATCACTGGGTTGTTGTAGGTTTTTTCGGGCTATATGACCATGGTCTACAGGCATTCTCTCCTGACGTTTCACCTGCATCTATGGAAAGCATCCTCAGAGGTAGTGAGGATGCTTGCCATAGATGCAGGCGAAATGTCAAGAGAGAATGCCTCTAGACCATAGCCATATAGCCCGAATAAACCTACAACAGCCCATAATATAGGAAAACTATAAGACAAATTAACCAGTTGGGCACCAAAGCCAACACACATCTTACAAAAATGCAGCCTCTTTGGAAACCAAAAAGTTTCATCCTCCAGATCTTCCAGATCATTCAAATACCAACTCAAAATTGTAAGCAACAGCTTACAACAACATTGAGTGAATCATAGGAGCCTGTTGTTGTGTTGTGGTTGTGTGCCTTCAAGTTGTTTCTGAATTACAGTGGCACTAAGGCAGTGGTTCTCAACCTTCCTAATACTATGACCCCTTAATACAGTTACTCATGTTGTGTTGACCGCCAACCATAAAATTATTTTCGTTGCTACTTCATAACTACAGTTTTGCTACTGTTATGAATCGTAATGTAAATATCTGATATGCAGGATTTATTTTCATTCACTAGACCAAATTTGGCACAAATACCCAATATGCCAAATATGAATACTGATGGGGTTGGGGGGATTGATTTTGTCATTTGGGAGTTGTAGTTGTTGGGATTTATAGTTAACCTACAATCAAAGAGCATTCTGAACTCCACCAATGATGGAATTGAACCAAACGTGGCACACAGAACTCCCATGACCAACAGAAAATACTGGAAGGGTTTGGTGGGTATTGACCTTGAGTTTTGGAGTTGTAGTTCACCTACATCCAGATAGAACTGTGGATTCAAACAGTGATGGATCTGGACCAAACTTGGCATGAATACTCAAATGTGCCCAAATGTGAACACTGGGAGTTTGGAGAAAAATGGATCTTGACACTTGGGAGTTGTAGTTGTTGGGATTTATAGTTCACCTACAATCAAAGAGCATTCTGGACCCCACCAATGATTGAATTGGGCCAAACATCCCACACAGAACCTCCATGACCAACAGAAAAGAATGTGTTTTCTGATGGACTTTTGTGATCCCTCTGATACCCCCTCACGACCCCCCCAGGGGTCCCGACCCTCAGGTTGAGAAAAGCTGGACTAAGGTGACTCTATCACAAGAGTGTGTGATTTGGCCAAGGTCACCTGCTGGGTTTCTATGGCTGAGCAGGAAATCAAACACTGGTCTCCAAGTTCTAGTTCAAGGCTCAAACCATTAAGCCACATTGATACTCTTTTGCCATGTTTACGTGGGGAATTCTAGGAGGCAGTCTAAAACACTACAGGAATCCCATGCACATCACAGTATAGCATTTCCCAACTCCTATTGGCTCCAAGCAGCATGACCAATGGCCAGCAATATTGGAGTCCAAGGCATATGGAGGACAACAGTTTGAAGAAGGCTGATGGAAGAGGTTCTCCAACCAAAAATATTCCCAAATAAGCCCAGATCAGTGGACTTCTTTTCCAAAATAGGACATGAATTGGCAACCTGCATCTTTCCTAAATGTTGGACTGCAAGTACTGTATTGTAATCTTGGTTAACAATGGGAATTGTGATCCTGTGACCACTGTGGTTGCCCATCCCTAACCCAACATTCATCAGAAAAAAGAACCCAACTCTGAAGAGATCTCTTTACCTCGTCCGTGTTTGTGTTTGTTGTTGAGGACAATCTTAACAATGGTTCCCGACGCTTGCTGCAAATCCGGCAAGGCTCCTCTGTTGCTTCGGCCTCCAGTGAACCGTGGGAGGTTGGCAACCGGCCTGGAATTGCTGGGCAGCGGGTCATAATGGGACCGATGTGGGGAGTGTCTCTGTATGAGGAGAGAGAGAGAGAGAGAACAGGAATGAGGGATTCTCATGAGAACTAAAGGTTGAGGAGCTTTTGTTTCTGGAGCCTCTGTTGTTGAGAACATATTAAAAAATGTGTCCGGTCTCTCTTGCAACACCCCAAACAAACCCGTGGCACCTTATAGGACCACTGTTTATTCTGGCAGAAGCTTTAGGTTGAGTGACTGCCAGCAACCTCAGAGGCAACCAACAGCCAATGAAGATGATGGACAGGCGCATAGAGATATAAAATAAATAATCCCCAGCAAAAACACAAACATTGAGGGATACATTTACAATGAGTCAGTGAAACGTTTACACTTGGTTTGTTTGTTTTTTTGCAGTTAACTAAATAACTTGGAAAGCCCCCTTGGTCCTTTCAAAGGTCAGAGGAATGGGCCAGCGTCTGAGGTCTTCAGATCTCTTCGGAAGGCAACCTGCTACTTCTGGGAGTGTCGTCGTGTAAATATCACACCAAGAAGGGTTTTGGAAAGTTGCTTCTGGCCAAGAGAGTGACCTTTTCTTTCTGTTTTCTGCATCGCTCTATCAACTTCACATCTCATAATGATGACTCAATTCCAGCCAAACTTCTTGAGATGCATTGCATCCAAAGACAATCCTATTTGGACATCGTTTTTCACCTCCATCCATTCCGTTCCAACCCAATCAAAGCAGGTACTGGAAACAAGTTTGGAAGTACTTATGCGATTGCAACAGATTTATTGCTATATGGCAATTAAAGTCATTTTGTATTCTGTCTGCATTGTATCACTATTAGCTGCCTGGAGTGTTGTTTTAGTGGGGAAATATATTCATAAGCACAAACGTTGGATCTGTATAGCAGTTTGGACTGCATTAGTCTGTATGCCCTTTAATATGGAGAGGGTAGATTTGGGAAGGTTTATGTGGAGGACCTGGAGATTGCGCTGGAGGCCTATAATCCCTAGAGAACTGTTCTCTCTAGGAAACTCTAGGTCCTCCAACATGTCCTTATGAGAACATATCATCGAGTCATACTGGAGGACCTATAGCAGTGGTTCTCAACCTAGGGTCCCCAGATGGTTTTGGCCTACAACTCCCAGAAATCCCAGCCAGTTCACCAGCTGTTAGGATTTCTGGGAGTTGAAGGTCAAAAAATCTGGGGACCCACAGGTTGAGAACCACTGACCTATAGATTCCTAGATATTACATATTAATGGCAAATAATCCCGTCTGCAAAAGTTGAACCTACAATTTTAGAGGGTTTACTGTATATGGACAGTTGCATGCTGTAGGTTTCAATAAGTAATTCCATCTTAAGTTTTCAAATTTTAAGATGTGACAATTTGATTCAACGGGGTTCTTATGTCCTTTGCTAACCAGGACCCTTCCAGACATGTTTGACTATAGCACCCATCATTCCTCTGGAGGACTCTGGATTTGAAACAGCTTGAGCCAGCCTCTGTTCTTTGGCTACAAAAGGCAAAATATCCCCTAGGGCCAAAAATTCATGCTCAAATTCAGTGATTAACTGATATTCAGAGGAGAGGTTTTGCCTGAAGGGAGAACAGGCTAAACAGTTCATAACAAGGGAGTAAGCCTGTCTCTGCTATGGTTTTGGGGTCTGCATTATGAAACCATATTGTTAGATTTCCAGTCCAGCAGAACTGATTGGTAAAGCGGTGCCCTTGGAAGCTAAGGCGCTGCATTTTGAAATGTTAGCAGCAAAACATAACAAAAGGTAAACAAAGGCCAATAAGCACACAAATGTGTTTATTGCTCCCTTCCCTTGCTCGGAGCCATGGCCATAATCCAAAACAGACTTAAACAAGCCCACTGAAAATGATGGGTTTAAGGATTTCTAACTCAACAAAGAAAGGAAAATCAAATCACTCTTCGAACTGACAAAGGAGGGAACTCTCTACAGAGCCCAACTGAGATGTCAAGGCTAGCTAAGCTCCTTTACAATTTGGTCTAAAACCCAGAACTAAGGCAGTACGGAAGCCATCAAACTATGGTAGAAACCAAAATGACCCAATTACATTCTGAATTACTTTAGATGAACATAGGAAATGCAGTTCTCAATTCCGGACAATTCAGCACTTTTTTTGACCAGGGACCACTTTGACCAGGGACCGCTCTCCGAGATTAGTACCAAAAGAATTACAAATCAGTTTTTGGTCAACTTTAGATTCAGTTTGGTTATCTGGGGTGCTGATTCAGAAAATTGCATTGGATAGACCACATCAGCTCTAGTTTCTGACACAGAACAAATGCTATCATGTAGTCACCATCTGCTCGCTCACAGAAAACCATATTTAATAACCTTTGGCACTATAGGAGGGTTTAATGAGATCAGCCGCTCTCGTTGCAAAGGTGTAGTAATGGTGAGGCTGCGGACCAAATTTTAGTTCTTGCGGACCACACGTTGGGAACCACCTGTGCTAAGCAAAGCATGCCCTATCTATGTATATCATACACGCAGAGTGGGCTTCCCGACTTCCAAGAAGCTTCAGGTTCACCTCTATGAGAGACACATTTCTGGTGCAAATAGGTCTTTACCTTGATCCTGTAGGGCTTTTTTTTCTGTTTTTAGGTTTCCCATCACTCCACCCCAAATCAGCTCCCTTGAACTTCTGTTGATTCAGTAGGCACAGAAAAGGATATCCATATTGTTTTGATTGGCAATTCAGTAGACTCCAACCACAGAAATAAGCAAACATCTTCTTTTTCTTAACCACTATATATATATTTTCTCTTTGCTCAAACAAAGGATTTCCTACCCTTCCCTTGGCCTCCAAGAGAGAGATGTAAAATCTACCCGAGCCATTGTTTTCATTCCAACTATTTATGAGCTGCAAATGAAGACGCGGGGCCCAAAAAGGATTTTATAAGATTGAAAGGAAAGGAAAGATAGGAAGGTATCCAAAAAGAGAGCGAGATGATTTTTTTCTACTTTTTATTAATGTTTGTATTAATGTTTGTATTTATATGGCATCGAATTGTATCCTGCCCTGAGTGGCCTTTGGGCTGATATGGGCGGGGTAGAAATAGTGTAAATAAATAAATATTTGGGAATTCTGGGAAAGGGATGTTCAACTTGCTATGGAATTTTGGGATTTGCAGTTTAGTGAGGCAATAGCACTGTTAGAATCATAGAATCACAGAACAATAGAATTGTAAGAGACGACATGGGCCATCTAGTTCAACCTCCTGCCATTCAGCAAAAGCACAATCAAAGCACCCTTGACGGATGGCCATCTAGCCTCTGTTTAAAAGCTTCCAAGGAAGGGGCTTCCACCAGACTCTGAGGCAGAGAATTCCACTCTTAGCTCTTGGCAGTTAAAGTGTCAAACTGCATTGATTCTATGGTGTGTTTGCACCCTCGTAGGTGAAGATGTGCATTATGGACATCACTCTATTATCCTCCACAGATCATACAGTTGCTTCTGAATATAATTTAAGAAAACAAAACAAAATAAAAGAGTTCTGCTGGGTAAACTTCTGCCAGATGCACTTTGTGATGGAATGAAACAGGCAAGGAGTTCAGAACACAAGATATAGTATAGGGTTGGGGATGCTCCCAGCTCAGTAGGGACCAATGACCTTCCTCTCTGGATGGGAACATCTAAAGAGTCCACTTACCGCTTCCCTGTTGGCCGGCTGCCGAAAGATGTCTCCGTCCGCATTGTCCCAAGGTAACTCTCCATCCCCTGCACAGAAGAAGAAGAGAAACATGTCAAGAACTCCTTTTTGAGGCCACATCTTACAATCAATAAAATAGGGTAATAACAACAACAGTATCAACAACAACTCCTGACCCCACAGGAGTTAATCCATACTTTGTGTTAAAAATGAAGTATGGATTGTCGATGTTGCAATCCCAGGTGACAGCAGGGTTGAAGATAAACAACTGGAAAAGCTGACACAATATAAGGATTTAAAGATTGAACTGCAAACACTCTGGCACAAGCCAGTCAAGGTGGACCCAGTGGTGATCGGCACACTGGGTGCAGTGTCTAAAGACCTTGGCCTGCACTTAAACACAATCAGCACTGACAAGATTATCATCTGCCAGCTGCAAAAGGCCACTTTACTGGGATCTGCACTCATTATTTGCCAATACATCACACAGTCCTAGACACTTGAGAAATATCCGACGTGTGATCCAATACAACAGCCAGCAGAGTGATCTTGCTTGCTGTGGACTCATCTTGTTGTGCAAATAATAATAACAACAACAACAACAACAACAACAACAACTCTGCAAGGAAGTAGATGAAAATATAGATCACATCCTGAGCTGCTGTAAGAAGATCGCGCAGACAGACTACAAGCAGAGGCACAACACTGTTGTTCAGATGATTCATTGGAACTTGTGCCACAAATACCATCTTGTTGTGTTTCAAATAACAGCAACAACAGCAACAACAACTAGTATTTTCTCCAATAAAGCAAACAGATGCCAAGTTAAGGCAAACTTTGCTTTTCTGGAAACCACTTTCCACTTGATAGGAAGTTGCCCTCTGAATTTCAAAGGCTGGCCACAGTCTCGTTTTCTCATAGCTGATTATCAGTCCTGAGTTCAAACAACAACAAAAGGCATGCAAGGGCGATTGGAATGTCATGCTTAACTGCTCATCCCAATACATTCATGGAGTCTATTGGCTTACAGTAAATATTATTTCTCCTTTCTCCTTCTTTACCTCTGCAAGCTGGGCAGCAGGATTCGGGCACAGAGACCGGTGAGGAGCATGTGAGTTTGGGACATGTCTTCAAACCACAATAGACATTTCCTTCCTGCCAAAATGAAAGAGGAAGAGAGAGGAACAGAGTCAGCTATGGAAAACATAGACACAGTAGATGCTTGCAATGACAGTCAATGATGTAGTGTGCCTTTTCTACCTTTTACAGAATGAAATTACAAATGTTAAGTTAGCTTGTCTGAAAGGTCTTCCTTAGTTTCGCATTGTGGGTGCCTAACTTCTCATAATTTTACTTCTTGAGGCAAGCAGCAAATGATCTACACAGCCATATAACTCAAAATATCAAGGCAGAAAATCCCACATGATCTGCTTTGAACTCGGTTATCTGAGTCCACACTGCCATATATTCCAGTTCAAAGCAGATAATGTGGGATTTTGGAAGCTGTGTGGAAGGGGCCCATGTTATTATACCCCTAACTGTAAGAAAGCCTTTGACAACTGAATAATATTTGCAACTCAAGATTTGCTCTGTGCAAAACTCACATTAGCTTTACTTTGTGCCAGAAGTGACTTTTTGGTTTGGAAAATGATACTTATGTGCAGAAATGGAAAATTTCTGCATAGAAACCCTGCTCAATCCTTGAGCTCTTCTCTACCACTCCTCACCCCATTTATACTTGATTGTGGGTAGAAAGAATGTTGGTTGACACCACGTTAACTGCCACAGCTCAATGATACACTGGGATTTGTAGTTTGGTGAAGTATTGGCCTTCTTTGGCTATAACTCCTAGGATCTCATAGCATCGAGCCACAGCTGTTGAAGTGGTGTCAAACTGCATTCATTCCATAGTGTAGATTAGTAGTTCCCAACCTGTGGTCCACGGAACACCAGAGCTCCATAAGAGCAAAAAATAGCCTCACCATAATACACTGTTGCCTTAAAACCGTGCAACAAGAATGACTGGTCTCGCGAAACTCTCTTATTGTGCCGAGGCAATGGGGATGTTGGGAGGAGAGAGGCTGACCACCCACAAAATATTACTACTACCACTTTAGCTCTAGGTTTTCTTTGGGTAAGTAGATGGCGACTACTGGATGGCATATGTTCTGAATCAAAACCCAACCCTGCTATATGCCTGTGAAACGTGGACTGTCTACAGACGTCACATGCAACTCCTGGAACAATTCCATCAGCGTTGACTCCGAAAAATCCTGCAAATCTCTTGGAAAGACAGGCGGACAAATTTCAGTGTTCTGGAAGAAGCAAAGACTGCCAGCATTGAAGCGATGGTCCTCTGCCATCAACTCCGCTGGACTAGCCACATTGTCTGAATGCCCAATGCCTGTCTCCCAAAGCGAATCCTTCCTCCGAACTCAAGAACAGAAATCGGAATGTTGGAGGACAGAAAAAGAGATTTAAAGATGGGCTCAAAGCCAACCTTAAAAACTGTGGCATAGACACCAAGAACTGGGAAGCCCTGGCCCTTGAGCGCTCTAGCTGGAAGTCAGCTGTGACCAGCAGTGCTGTAGAATTTGAAGAGGCATGAATGGAGGGTGAAAGAGAGAAACCTACCAAGAGGAAGGCGTGTCAAGCCAACCCCAACTGGGAGCACCTTCCACCTGGAAACCGATTCCCTCACTGTGGGAGAACATGCAGGTCAAGAATATGGCTCTACAGTCACCTACGGACCCACCACCAGGACACCGCACTTGGAGGACAATCTTACTCAGACAACGACGGAACGCCTAAGTAAGTATCATAAACTAGAGCTGATGTGGTCTGTCCAATGAAATTTTCTGCATCAGCACCCCAAATAAGCAAACCAAATCTAAAGTTGACCAAAAACTGATTCGTAAACCTTTTGGAACTAATGTTGGAGAGTGGTCCCTGGTCAAAAAAAGGTTAGGAACCACTGGTGTAGATGCACCCTCTGTGTAATGGTAGAGACAGCTCCAGATCAGAATTCAGTGTTGCTGTGTTACTTACGGAACAGCTGCACTGTGCACACTGGTTGGGTTGTCTGTTTTGGAAGAGTCCCTCAGCCACAAACATCTCCCCGTGGTTGTAGGTGGTGCCGTTGTATTCGCAGGACCTCCCGGTGGTTTTGCTGCCCATGGAGAAGAGTGAATCATCTGGAAAAGAGGGCAAGAGCAGGACAGAAGCCATTTAATGAAGCCAAATTCAAACATGCAACTCCACTATTACTTGGAGTAAGGTCCCCTGCAACCACATATTATTGCTTATGAAGATAATCCACTCATGGGTGCATCTATACTGTAGAATGAAAGTAGCTTGACAGCGCTTTCACTGCTGTGGCTAACTGCTATGGAATCATGCAAGCTCTAGTTTGATGAAGTCTTAATTTGTGATGGTGCTTCACCAAACTGCAGCTCCCAGGATTTCATAGCATTGTGCCATAGCAGTTCATGTGGGGCCAATCTCCATGAATTCAACAGTATAGATCAGGCATGGGCAAACTTCGGCCCTCCAGGTGTTTTGGACTTCAACTTCCACAATTCCTAAGAGCCAGTAGGCTATTAGGAATTGTGGAAGTTGAAGTCCAAAACCCCTGGAGGACCGAAGTTTGCCCATGCCTGTGTAGATGCATCCATGGAGGCTCTGTCCATCACTTTCATATCCACCTGCAAAACTCATGCACAATTGCAATCTTTTCATAATATCACATCACTCCAGGATTATTACACTCCCGAGGAATGCAGTTTTTGCTTTTCTCCACCAAAGAAGCAACAGGTTCTGAATTATAGGCCTGTGAGCTAAATGGTGACATTGGGAGGCCTGGGTTGTAAACCATTTGTTTTGGCACACTGGCTCCTCCAGCTTTTGAATGCCCTTTTCAAGCTGGGCAAAAAAAAATTAAACATAAATGTCAGGCCACCGGTGTTGTAGGAGAAGTATGAAACCCGACACGTTTTGCTCTCACAGGCACACAGGAGTGCCTACATTTTGAAAAGCACATTTCGATATTGATATGGTTGGGTTTGTTATTGCTCCATAGCCCATGATCCAACCATGAATATTCTCGCCATGCTATTAATCAAAAGGCAGCAAAACACACAAAACCATAATGTTCTAGAGCAGTGTTTTTCAACCTTTCTAATGCTGCGACCCCTTAATACAGTTCCTCATGTTGTGTTGATCCCCCAACCACAAAATTATTTTCGTTGCTACTTCATTACTGTAATTTTGCTACTGTTATGAATCATAATGTAAATACCTAAAATGGATAATGTATGTTCATCCACTGGACCAAATTTGGCACAAATACCCGATACCCCCAAATTGGAATACTGGTGGGGTTGGTGGGGTTGATTTTTGTCATTTGGGAGTTGTAGTTGCTGGGATTTATAGTTAACCTACAATCAAAGAGCATTCTGAACTCCACCAATAATGGAATTGGACCAAACTTGGCACACAGAACTCCCATGACCAACAGAAAATATTGGAAGGGTTTGGTGGGCATTGACCTTGAGTTCTGGAGTTGTAGATCATCTACATCCAGAGAGCACTGTGGACTTAAAGCACTGGGACTGTGGCATAGCTGGCTGGGAGTCAGCTGCATTAAGATCACTACTGACCAAAAGGTCATGAGTTCGAAGCCAGCCCAGGTCGGAGAGAGCTTCCAACCAATTTGTGTAGCTTGCTGTCGACCTTTTCAGCCCAAAAATCAGTTGCATCTGTCAAGTAGGAAATTTAGGTACCACTTATATGGGGAGGCAAATTTACTATGCCATTAAAATCTCCAGCAAGCATGCAAAGAATGTGGAAGTGTCACATCAGTATCATAAATGGCCGGTGAAGCGACAGCGCCCCCGGTGGCTCCCCCTCATGACAAAGCTGGAATGTTAAATAGCCTCTGTTTGTCTGTGTATATATGTTGTGTGTCTATAGCATTGCATGTTTTCCATGTATATGTACATTTTAATCTGCCCTGAGTCCCCTGCGGGGTGAGAAAGGGGGAATATAAATATCGTAAATAAATAAATAAATAAATAAATGATAGACCTGGACCAAACTTGGCACGAATATTAAATATGCCCAAATGTGTACACTGGTGGAGTTTGGGGAAAACAGGCCTTGATATTTGGGAGTTGTAGTTACTAGGGCTGGGTAACCACGGAAAAATTTGTTTCTAAACTCGATTCGTTTTTAAGGGGTCCATCACGTTTCGTTTCTTTAAAGAATTCCGAAATTTTCCTTTTAAAAATTTCAAAATATACGAAATTTCATAAATTTCGAATCGATTCGTTAATGGCGGACGCGATTGAGCAATATGCTAAAAAAACCTCCAAATATGCTAAAAATATGCTGCAAAAACCTCCAAATGGGACAGGGGGAACTTCTGAAGCTTCCCTCTCCCTCTGTTGTTGACTGTTGGTGTGATAAAACAAACAACAACTATAAAACTTGCACCAGGCATGCGAAAATAATTACGAAACAATTTCGAAACAATTACGAAATATATTGAAAAATTGTTTCGAATCTATTTAACTCCTCACACTATTCCAAAATGGCTCAATATCGGATCGTAAGCTAATTTAAATACGAATTAATAACGAATTACGAAATTAACAAAGCCCTAGTAGTTACAGGGGTTTATAGTTCATCTACACTCAAAGAGCATTCTGAACCTCACCAACGATAGAATACACAGAACCCCTATGCCTTGAAGGGACTTAATGGCATGAGCCTCTCTCCAGCCTTGCAAGCTCTCCTTCACCTGCACATGCACAAAACGCTGCCATGCACCGAGCATGCCTGCTCTCCCCTCCCTGCTTGGAGCCTTAGAAACAGCCCTCCCCTCGGCTGAGAGGCCGAACAATCACAGTGGAGGTGGGCTTTTGGTGGGAAGATTTGCCGTCTGTTTCCAAACAGGAAGAGAAGGAGAAATGGAGAGATCTTCAGCCTTCTCTGCTAAAGGGGTTCCTAATAGAGACAGGGCCTTTTCTGTGGTGGCTCCCCGGCTATGGAATTCCCTCCCAAATGAAATCAGATCTGCCCCCTCCCTCCTGACCTTTAGGAAATTAGTGAAAACCTGGTTGTGGAACAAGGCCTTTGCAGAATGATGAGTGAGACCGGTAACCGACCAAAGTGATTCACCACAATACATGGACTGAATATACGGACATGTTTTCTATCTTGGTGAACGGCTTTTATGTATTTATTTTATATCTATTTTTTAATTTACTGCTAATATATGATGTTTTAGATTTTTACTGTTAGCTTTGAATTTTTGCTGTCAGCCTGTCTGAGTCCATCTATGGAGGTAGAGAAGATCGGGATATAGAATTTTTTAAATAAATAAATAAATAAATAAGACCATCAGAAATATATGTTTTCTGATGGTTGTTGGCGACCCCTCTGAAACTCTCTCATGATCCTCCCAGGGGTCCCGACCCCCAGGTTGAGAAACTCTGTTCTAGAGCAATTTGGGCAATAAAATCTCAAAACGATTCAAACAATGAACCAAGACTAGTTAGAACCAATGCCATCCATTTCCATGGATCAAAAAAACATCTGATCATCTTTTGTTATTTATGTGTGTTAACAGGAGCGCTTGCTTTTTTTACTAATTAATGTCAGAACCACCGGGAAACTTTCCAAAGACTTTGAAGAGAACCAAGACTCCGTTTGCAGATAAACTCAGACTTCTGGAGTTACGGCTCCCAATCCTTAAGCACAGTGTAACCTAATATTTAACTAAAACACCGAGCGATTTGGGCAAAGGATCAAGACTCGCCTCCTTAACTCAATGCATGGAATTAGGGATTTTTTTAAACATTTATTCTTTTTCAGTGAGGAAAGATTAGGAAGGGATCCAGCACCAACCGACTGCAAATGGGGACGCTAACTGCCTCCATATGTGGCCAGCCTTTGGAGGCAGGTGTCAAACACATTAGCCGTCTCAAGGCTTTTGGAAAGCGACTTCAAGGCTTCGCCTAAGCTTGCAAAAGTCCACCAAATCCATCGACTTGTCCTTTAACGGGAGCGAGTGCAGGATCACCCACAGTGGGGCACACAACCAAGCCAGCTTTCCTGACTGTATCAAGTTAAATGGGGAAGTCTCAACCCTCGATGCTCAGGTTTCATGGGTTTTCTTGGGTGAAAGCTAGCCTTCTAATGCTCTCACATCGGTGGCTTAATTTCCTGTGTTTGCCTTTGTTTTGAATAGAGAGAGATTGGGCGAAAAAAATCCCAAAAACCGTTGAAAACATATGGACGAACCATTAGAAGGATATTCTTCTTAGTTCCAGGTTTCATTTGCATTGGTTAATTTTTTCAAAGGGCATAATGGAGCATTTGATACCTCTTCCAAACTCACTTTAGAAACCATCTAGAACAGTGGTTCTCAACCTTCTTAATGCCGCGATCTCTTAATGAAGTTCCTCATGTTGTGGTGACCCCAAGTCATAAAATTATTTTTGTTGCTACTTCAAAACTGTAATTTTGCTACTGTTAGGAATCATAATGTAAATATCTGATAAGCAGGATGTATTTTCATTCACTGGACCAAATTTGGCACAAATACTGTACCAGATACACCCAAATTTGAATACTGGTAGAGTTGGGGGAAGATTTATTTCGGGTTGTTGTAGGTTTGTCCGGGCTATATGGCCATGTTCTGGAGGCAATTTTTCTCCTGATGTTTCGCCTGCATCTATGGCAAGCATCCTCAGAGGTAATGAGGTCTGTTGGAACTAGGAAAAATGGGTTTATATATCTGTGGAATGACCAGGGTGAGACAAAGGACTTTTGTTTGCTGGGGCTAGCTGTGAATGTTTCAGCTGATTTGCATTCAACGGCTTGGAAGTGCCTGGGGGAATCTTTTGTTGAGAGTGATTTCATGTGCCTGTTTGTTTCCCCTCTGTTGTTTTGCTGCTGTAATTTTTGAGTTTTTTAATACTGGTAGCCAGATTTTGTTCATTTTCATGGTTTCTTCCTTTCTGTTGAAATTTCTGTTGAAAGATTGATTTTGTCATTTGGGAGTTGTAGTTGTTGGGATTTATAGTTCACCTACAATCAAAGAGAATTTTGAACTCCACCAATGATCGAATTGAGCCAAACTTGGCACACAGAACTCCCATGACCAACAGAAAATACTGGAAGAGTTTGGTGGGCACTGACGTTTTGGAATTGTAGTTCACCTACATTCAGAGAGCACTGTGGACTCAAACAATGATGGATCTTGACCAAACTTGGCACAAATACTTGATGTGAACACTGGCGGAGTTTAGGGGAAATAGACCTTGACATTTGGGAGTTGTAGTTGTTAGGATTTATAGTTCACCTACAATCACAGCACATTCTGAACCCCAGCAATGATAGAATTGGGACAAACCTCCCACACAGAACCCCCATGACCAACAGAAAATACTGTGTTTCTGATGGTCTTTGGCAACCCCTCTGACGCCCCCCTGCGACCCTTCCAGGGGTCCTGACCCCCAGGTTGAGAAACGCTGATCTAGAACAACGCTGGGTTGCTGTGACTTTTCCAGGCTGTATGGCCATGTTCCAGAAGCATTCTCTCCTGATATTTTGCTCACATCTATGGCAGGCATCCTCAGGGGTTATGAGAATGTCTGCCATAGATGCGGGCAAAACGTCAGGAGATAATGCTTCTGGAACATGGCCATACAGCTCAGAAAACTCACAGCAACCCAATGATTCTGGCCACGAAAGCTTTCGAGAACAAAGCTCTTTGGCAAAGAAGCATTTCTGGCAAACAAAGGATATTTGTCACCCAATAGTCAACAATTACAATTGTTGGGATCTGGAAATACCCCAAAATTATGATTGGTTCCGGTTTTCTGATGGATCAATGGACCTAAATTTCATTTCATGCCCCAAATTAGTGCAAATATCATACAGAATTACCTCCAGGTTATGTATATAAGGTGTATATGAAACATAAGTGCATTTGACGTGTCCTTTGACTTGGGTCCCATTCCCAAGATATCTCATTATGTCCATATATGCACCACTTTAACTGCCATGGCTCAATGCTAATGAATTCTAGGAGTTGTAGTTTTACATAGTCATTACCTTTCTCTGCCAAAGAAATCTGGAATCTCAGCAAACTATAACTTCCAGGTTTTCATTGCATTGAGCCATGGCAGTTAAAGTGATGTCAGATTGCATTCATTTGACAGGGTTGAGAACCAATGTTCTGACTCAGTGTTTCTCTACCAGGGGATCGGGACCCCTGGGGGGCTCACGAGGGGGGTTTCAGAGGGGTCGCCAAAGACCACCAGAAAACACATATTTCTGATGGAGTTAGGAATGCATTTGTCATAGTCGTTTGGGTTCACAGTGCTCTCTGGTGAACTACATCTCTCCTAAATTGACCATGATTTAGGGGAGATGTAGTTCATCTACATCTCCCCTAAATCACAGTCAATTCGTCCCAAATCCCTACATTATTTTCTTTTGGTCATGGGGGTTCTGTGTGGGAAATTTGGCCCAATTCTATTGTTGGTAGGGTTCAGAATGCTCTTTGATCGGAGGTGAACTATAAATTCCAGCAACTACAACTCCCAAATGTCAAGATCTATTTCCCCCAAACTCCACTAGTGTTCACATTTGGGCATATTGAGTATTCATACCAAGTTTGGTCCAAATCCATCATTGTTTGATTCCAGAGTGCTCTCTGTATGTAGTTGAACTACAACTCCAAAACTCAAGGTCAATGCCCACCAAACCTTTCCAGTATTTTCTGTTGGTCATCAACCCTGTCAAATGAATGCAATCTGACATCACTTTAACTGCCATGGCTCAATGCTAATGAATTCTAGAAGTTGTAAATTTACATGGTCATTTTCTCTGCCAAAGAAATCCGGAATCTCAGCAAACTATAGCTTCCACGGTCCCATTGCATTGAGCCATGACAGTTAAAGTGATTGTCAGATTGCATTAATTTGACAGGGCTGATGCATTTCTAGGCTATTTACTTCCAGGCAGAAGGTGGAGGCAGAGCAGAGTGGAGGGTGAGTCCTGGTGCCACAAAGGAACAAGGGTTTAATATTTTTCTATCGTGTCAGACATGACTTGAGAACATTGGCTGTCTACAAAGACGTTGCCTAGCGGGCACCCAGATGTGTTACCATCCTGTGGGAGTCTTCTCTCATGTCCCCACATGGGAAGCTGGGGCTGACAGATGGGAGCTCACCCCATCATACATATTTGAACAGCTAACCTTTAGGTCAACAGTTCAGCCGCCACAAGGGTTTGTAACCCATTGCACCACCTCGGCTCCTAAGAAACAAGGATGAAACTAGGTAAGGACACTCCCTCTGGGGAGTCTTTTCAAGTTGCATCAAGAAATCAATGAGGTTTTGGAAATTCTAGACAATTGATGCTCTGTTAGAACATCTGGAGATTTGTATAGAACCTTTTCTCATTAGGCCAGAGATGGGTCCTCCCAAAAATGGAGAATTTGGACTCCTGGCTCCAGGTTGGGGATGACTTATGCAAACTAGTGGCTTGGGGACAGGCATCTGGCAACTCCACCACAACAGTGTGTGCCTGTAGCCCCAAAGAAAACAACAGAAACTCTCTTTGCAATGTTGAGTGTTACTTTATTGAAAATAACTAGAAACGGGGTGCTGGAGAAAAGGCGACTGGAGCCCAGGGAGCGCACCGAGCCCTCCAGACGTGAGGCCATGTCGGGGATTTTGCCGCAAACCCGAGAAAGATCTCGCTTCGCCTGCACCGGTACAGTGGCTCTTAACAATGAGGTATAATACATGTACAGTCTGGGGGAGTTTATGGCGCAGCGTATGACCCAGTTTACACATCCATAAAAATTGCCAGCCCTCTGCCTTTCTGATTTACAGGCCCCTTGCCTAATTAGGAAGCTGAGCCCAGTTGCAAGACGCCGTTTTAATACAGCCAGTGCTCGGATTTGTCACAGTCTTCCAAAGAAATTGGCTTTTTGGTTATCATTTTGGGACTTGATATAGGTAAAGGTAAAGGTTTTTCCCTGACATGAAGTCCAGTCATGTCCAACTCCGGGGGTTGGTGTTCACCTCCATTTCTAACTCGAAGAGCTGGCATTGTCCAAGGCCATGTGGCCGGCATGACTGCATGGAGCACCGTTACCTTCTCACTGAAGCAGTACCTATTGATCTACACACATTTGCATGTTTTCAAACTGCTAAGTTGGCAGAAGCTGGGGCTAACAGTGGGAGCTCACTCTGCTCCCTGAATTTGAACTACAGGCCTTCCGTTCAGCAGTGGAACTCTCTGCCCCGGAGTGTAGTGGAGGCTCCTTCTTTGGAAGCTGTTAAACAGAGGCTGGATGGCCATCTGTCAGGGGTGCTTTGAACACAATATTCCTGCTTCCTGGCAGAGGGTTGGACTGGATGGCCCATGAGGTCTCTTCCAACTCTAGGATTCTATGATTCTATGAATCTGGGGAGGGGGTGAGCTCCCAGTGTTAGCCCCAGCTTCTGCCAACCTAGCAGTTTGAAAGCATGCAAATGTGAGTAGATCAATGGGCACCACTCCGGTGGGAAGGTAACGGTGCTCCATGCAGTCATGCTGGCCACATGACCTTGGAGGTGTGTACAGACAAGGCTGGCTCTTGGGCTTAGAAATGGGGATGAGCACCAAAGTCCTAGAATCGGACATGATTAGATCTAATGTCAAGGGGAAACCTTTACCTTTACCTATGACACGTAAATGTAAGGTCTGCTTGCATGCACTATTAAAAGGAATATATTAAAAAATCTTATAGAAATGCATATAACAACCCCAAAAGGTCCTGTGCACATTGAGGCAAATACCCATATTTGGGTTTCAACATGGTCCTATGTATTACTCTCTTAATTTAAGAAAAAAAGGATGGAATCCCAGCCTTCAATCACTGCAAAAACAGTTCCCAAGACAGTTCTGTGCCAGTTCTGGCAAAGAGGCACATTTTTAGCGCTGGGTAAAACCAGCCCACTTTTGCATATACAGTGGGAGATAATAACATTATTCAAAGAGGCTGGTTGGAAGGGGATTTGCTTCAATGAAACGCAAGGAGGGGGCGAACAGGCATAGTTGCTGAAGGCTGGGAGGGGGAAACATTACTTTCTAGCCAATGGTCTCCTGAGAATACAGGCCTCTCTTGTCATAAATGGAGTGTATAACAGGGTTTGCTGCATGAAAGCATTCCATTGTTATTTTTAGACCGGGAATTTGTCTGTTTGCTCTGCTCCGACATCCTCAGCCAAGTACATTTCATGGCGCTTTGTTCTGCGGAAATTACCTGGGCATCGCGGGCAGCACAACTGCGGGACCTGGACGGGGTTGGGGCAGTGCAGGTTGGGGCAGCGGATCCTGTTGCATTGCACGTTCCCATTCTGTGGAAAGACAGCAACAAAGAAAAGGCATTGGTTATATTTTGGATAGTCACACCATCGCAACTGTTTGATTCCACTTTCATTGCCAGGACTCCTGGGATTTGTGGTTTGGCGAAGGGTGCTTACAATTAGGCAAGGAATTGGTGCTCTACTTCAGGGAAATTCAGAAAATTCAATGTACTACTCATTAAACTACAAATCCCAGGTGTCTGTAGGATTTATTTATAGTGTCAGAAGTCAAACAAGGGTGCAGTTGTAATGTATTTTAAAAACATAATGTTTATTTATTATTTATTTGCCGTATTTATATACCGCTTTTCTCAGTCCGAAGGTAGGAGCCCCCGGTGGCGCAGTGGGTTAAACCCCTGTGCCGGCAGAACTGAAGACCGACAGGTCACAGGTTCGAATCCGGGGAGAGGTGGATGAGCTCGCTCTATCAGCTCCAGCTCCTCATATGGGGACATGAGAGAAGCCTCCCACAAGGATGATAAAAACATCAAATCATCTGGGCGTCCCCTGGGCAACGTCCTTGCAGACGGCCAATTCTCTCACACCAGAAGCGACTTGCAGTTTCTCAAGTTGCTCCTGACACGACAAAAAAAAATGTCCGAAGGTGACTCAGGGCGGTTTACAAATGGCACAATTCGATGCCTCCAACAACACAAAATCCAATTAAAAATATTTCGCATTAATATAAAAACCACATGAATAATTAAAAACCAATTAAAATATGAACCCTCAAGTTTTAAAACTTGGCATTATACTAAATGCCCTTTGACTAGTGGCTGGCCACTTGGAACACCTTTGGTGTCGCTATAAGAAGGTCCCCCATTGTGCATGTGGCAGGACTCAGACTGCATTGTAGTAAGTGCTCTGTGGTTTGCTCTTCTCCACACTCACATGCCGTGGACTCCACTTTGTGGCCCCATTTCTTAAGATTGGCTCTGCATCTCGTGGTGCCAGAGAGCAGTCTGTTTAGCATCTTCCAAGTCACCCAGCTTTCTGTGTGCCCAGGTGGGAGTCTCTCTTTGGTCTCAGCCACTGATTGGAGTGCTGGGTTTTAGCCTGCCACTTTTGGATTCTCACTTGCTGAGGTGTAGCTGCAAGTATCTCTGTAGATCTTAGAAAACTATGTCTTGATTTAAGGCGTTGGCGTGCTGGCTGATATCCAAATAGGGGGTGGACTGGGGATGTCACAGCCTTGATCCATTCATTACTGGCTGCTATTTCCTGGAGGATATCAGGGGGTGCAATACCAGCTAAACAGTATAATTTCTCCAGTGGTGTAGGGCGCACACACCCCGCGATAATGCAGCATGTCTCATTAAGAGCCATACCCACTGTTTTAGCATGGTGTGATGTGTTCCACACTGGGCATGCGTACTCAGCAACAGAGTAGCAAAACACAAGGGTAGAAGTCTTCACTGTGTCTGGTTGTGAACCCCAGGTTGTGCCAGTCAGTTTTCTTATGATATTATTTCTAGCACCCACTTTTTGCTTGAAATTCAAGCAGTGCTTCTTGTAGGTCAGAGCACAGTACAGGGTAACTGTAGGCTGGATTCAGGCAAATTCAAGTGGCGTCAAAATACGATAGTGGAGATACATTATTTGTACCTCTAACAATACAGGGATGAGGAGTACTCCGCCCCAGCCATAAATTCAGCCATAAATTAAAAAAAACTTTTCTTGTAATGGTGCCCCAATAAGAGATCCTGAAAACATGATTTTTGGACTATAGCTCCCAGTATCCCTAGTTAGATTGAACTATAGAAGATGCTGTGAAATGTGGTTCCCTTGAAGCATCTTTCCCAAGGTCTCCTTTGCAACATGTGCAACATCAGGCAGTAATTGAAAATGTGTGTGTGTGTGTGTGTGTGTGTATGTACATATACATATACATATACATGGAATGGGAGGCAGTTTAGAAAAAAATATCCCTCCCTTCCTCCAGTAATTATGCATTTGCTTCAGTATATTAAGTGAATTAGCTTAATTCATATTTCCTAGGCTAATACAGAGATTGTCTCAAAAACGAGCTACAAATCCTGAGATGACACAGAATGGAGCGGTGGCATTTAAAGTGGTGCCAACTATTGCAAAACACATACATACCTCTGAGCAAAGACAGTTGACGCAGTAAACAATCCCATAGGGTTCCAGGTAAGGATGCCACCGTTCGCCGACCCGATACTTCTTATCTTGAAACACACAGAAAGTCTCTGAATCTGCAATGGGGAACAAGAGAAAAAAGAGAAACCGTCAATGGGCAGGCAAAAGGCCTGTGCAACATGATGATACTTGGAATGTGTCTGGAGAGCAAGGGTCTGGAGAACAAGCCCAATGAGGAGCGGCTCAAAGAGCCAAGCATGTTTATCTTGCAGAAGAGAAGGCTGAGAGGAGACATATTTCAAAATGTGAGGGGAGTCATAGGCGGAGGGAACAGGCATGTTTTCTGCTGCCCTGGAGACTAGGACATGGAGCAATGGCTTCAAACTACAAGAAAGGAGATTCCACCTGAACATTAGGAAGAACTTCCTAAATGTGATATCTGTTCAGCAGTGGAACTCTCTGCTTTGGAGTGTGGTGGAAGCTCCTTTTTTGGAGGCTTTGAAATAGAGATTGAATGGACATCTATCAAGGGTGCTTAGAATGTGATTTTCCTGCTTCTTGGCAAGGGATTGGGCTGGGTGGCCCACAAGGTCGATTCCAACTCTGTGATCCTATGATTCTACTGTCTTGGGCAGAGTTTAGTTCCATTCAGCAATCCAAAACTCTTTCAAAAGTGTCTAATTTCTTAGGTTCGATTTATGACTGGAAATAAGAGCTGAAGATGCTTTTGAACCAGACTGGAAATGCTTGCAGGCATCTGCTCCGAAGTTCCTCATCCCATATTCTCCAATGGTCCAGATTTGAAATGAGCACAACTGATGAAACATCTATTGTCCCACCTTGCAACAACTTTCCAAAATGTCCCTATTTCTCTCTATCTAACCCTTTTGGTCCTTAGCTTTCTTCAATTGCTGCAAAGTGCAAAATTGGTTCGAAACAAGAGGGAGAGGCGAGAAGCAATGGCAGTAAAATGGGTGTCCGGCTGCATTAATTCTGCACCTAAGATGTTTCTTGCTCGGCTTTCATCCTTGCCAAGGGAAACCTTTCCCAACTGGCTCTTTGACCCTGGCGGCTACCATCCACTCTCTCTAATCAAAAGCAAAGAAGCAGGACGTTAGGAACATGGCGGTGGTGGCGATGGCAGTTCATGCGAAAAGATCCGCTTCCACTTCAGTCCCTGCCGGATGAATGAGGCTTTCATGTTGGCGGAGCAGTGAACTGGAGATGCCACTGACAGTCCCAAATCGTTGGGCAAAACTATTTGCACAGCCCGTTCTTGTGAATAAGTTCGGTCGAGCAGAGAGAATGCCTCTCTTGGACCACAGCCATCCCCTCCATCCCTTTGGAGAGGCCGGGTCAGAGTGAGGGAACGGGTTCCCTTCCTCTCTTGTTGATGGAGGTTACAAAATTCCAAGTGAGTAAAACACAGAACGGCTGCCCCAACAGGTAAGTCAGTTCCTTCAGGCTAAGTCCTGTAGCACATTGCTAAAGATCCTAGCATTCATCCATCACTGACCCTGAAACTCAACTCAAAAGCCAGCAGCTGTCCCAAGTGACAGAGTCCGACCTTGTTGATGAATGAGACACTGCACAAGGAAGTGACCAACTGGTAAGATGGAGCTGGTCACCTGAACCACTTTTGCCATGTAACTCTTTCACTTGAGACAGACGATTGGCTTTTAAGGTTGGGTTGGCAAGCATTTATGATCACGGCAGTGGTACTCCAATCTTATTTTTTGTGTTTGTGTCAGGACCGACTTGAGAAACTGCAAGTCACTTCTGGTGTGAGAGAATTGGCCGTCTGCAAGAACGTTGCCCAAGGGATGCCCGGATGTTTTGATGTTTTACCATCCTTGTGGGAGGCTTCTCTCGTGTCCCCACATGGGGAGCTGGAGCTAACAGAAGGCGCTCATCCACGCTCTCCTTGGATTCAAATCTGCAACCTGTCAGTCTTCACTCCTGTCGGCACAAGGGTTTAACCCACTGCGCCACCGGGGGCTCCTTCAAATCTTAATGTAAATAGGATAACTTAAAAAGAATGCCAATGCCCGCTACTCTTTCTACTTTGATGCTATTTCTAGACCTTTTTAACCATTGGATGGGAATAATAAATGGCAATAATAATTGCCCCCCGTCCCAACTTTGCATTGGTGTCTTTCCCCTCTCCGCAGAATGACCCTTGATTGATCCACAAGCCATACAGAAACCCAACTTTTTGACCCTCAGACTTGCCCTCAACTTACCCATGATGTCAACACCCATGAGCATATATAGAAGATACATGTTTATCTTCCACCATTGCTGTGTTCCTAATGCTGCGACTCCTTAATACAGTTCCTCATGTTGTGGTGACCCTCAACCATAACATTATTTTTGTTGCTACTTCATAACTGTAATTTTGCTACTGCAATGAATCATAACGTAAATATCTGATATGAAGGATGTATTTTCATTCACTGGATGAACTTTGGCACAAATACTCGACATGCCCAAATTTGAATACTGATGGGGTGGGGTGGGGATGGGGGTGGGGGTGGGATTGATTTTGTCATTTGATAGTTGTAGTTGCTGGGATTTATAGTTCACCTACAATCAAAGAGCATTCTGAACTTCACCAGCGATGCAATAGAACCAAACTTGGCACACAGAATTCCCATGACTGACAGAAAATACTGGAAGAATTTGGTGGGCATTGACCTTGAGTTTTGGAGTTGTAGTTCAACCGCATCCAGACAGAACTGTGGAGTTGTAGTTGCTGGGATTTATAGTTCACCTACAATCAAAGAGCATTCGGAACTTCACCAAAGATGGAATTGAACCAAACTTGGCAGACAGAATTCCCATGAACAACAGAAAATACTGGAAGGGTTTGGTGGGCATTGACCTTGAGTTTTGGAGTTGTAGTTCACCTACATCCAGAGAGCAGTGTGGACTCAAACAATGATGGATCTGGGCCAAACTTGGCACAAATACTCAATATGCCCAAATGTGAACACATTTGGGGAAAATAGACCTTGGTATTTGGGAGTTTACTGGGATTTATAGTTACAATCAAATTAGTTTTAAAATTTGGGCATATTAAGGATTCATGCCAAGTTTGGTCCAGATCCATCATGGTTTGAGTCCAGAGTGCTCTTTGGATATAGTTGAACTACAACTCCAAAACCCAAGGTCAATGCCAACCAAACCCTTCCAGTATATTCTGTTGGTCGTGGAAGTTCTGTGTGCCAAGTTTGGTTCAGTTCCATCATTGGTGCAGTTATGAAGTAGCAACAAAAATAATTTTATTGTTGGGAGTCACCACAACATGAGGAAGTGTATTACAGGGTTGCGGAATTAGGAAGGATGAGAAACACTGTCCTAGAGCCTCTGGCATGACTCTGATATTCCTTGGCTGCCTCCCACTCAAGTACCAACCAAGGCTGACCCTGCTTAACTTCCAAGACTTGACAGGATCAAGTGCCTGGTGATTCTGGGACTGTCACCTCAAAAAAAAAAGTGAAGGACAATTTTATGTTTGACGGCTCTATTGCTCATTCCGGTTGCTCAATCTGTCTGATGATGTTCCTCATTAATTTTATGATTAACATAAATTTCCAAAATGGAAAGATCTTTATTTTTTCCATGGAAAAATGCAGCAGTGGAAAAAACTTTTCCAAGCACATTTTCCGTTGCATTTCCGTGGTGTTTTGGGGCAGAAACGATTCCATCCGCATTATAGCAGAAACATTCTGTCCGCACTCTGGCGGCTGGACTGGGATCAAATGGGCAGATGGGCTCCTCTATTGCCAACTGAAACAAGTGCTTCTGTTCCAGTTTTCAAAATCTTGAAGCTATTTGAATAGAATTAACAGAATGGCGTCTCCGACGGGTCAGGAAGTTTACTGGTGCATCTACATCAGGAATGGACAAACTTTGGCCCTCTAGGTGTTTTGGACTCCAACTCCCACCATTCCTAACAGCCTCAGGCCCTTTCCTTCTCCCCCTCAGCCGCTTAAGCGGCTGAGGGGGAAAACACCGGGAGGGCCAAACACCGGGAGGGCCAAAGTTTGCCCATGCCAGATCTACACTGTCAAATTAATGCAATGTAACACCATTTAACCCCTTTGGCTTAATGATATGGAATCCTAGGAGTTATAATTTGGTGATGCAAAGGCTCTCTTAGGCAGAGAAGGCTAAAGTCCTTGCAAAACTACAACTCCCACAATTTCATGGCATTTAAAGTGTTATCAAACTGCACTAATTCAACAGTGTAGATGTACCTCATGACTCACCACCACTTCATCTACGGCCCCATCTACACTGCCATATTATCCAGTTTGAACCATATTATAATGGTCAGTATCGACTCATATAATGCAGATTGAATTGCATTGTATGAATCTAAACTAGGTTGTTGTAAGTTTTTCGGGCTATATGGCCATGTTCTAGAAGCATTATCTCCTGACGTTTCGCCTGTATCTATGGCAAGGATTCTCAGAGATTGTGAGCTAAGATGACTGAACTGAGGCTCTCATACTTTGACCTCACAACCTCTGAGGATGCTTGCCATAGATGCAGGCGAAACATCAGGAGAGAATGCTTCTAGAACATGGCCATATAGCCCGAAAAACCTACAACAGCCATGGAAGCCTTCGACAATACATGATTGAATCTAAACTGCTCAATCCAATTAATCTGCATTCTGAAACTGGATTATATGGCAGTGTAGATGGGATCAACGTCTCCTTCCATTCCTTTCCTCCAATCTGACACTTACACTGTATAATGAATGCAGTTTACATGCTACAGAATCCTGGAAGTCATAGATTTACACCGTATTTAGCCTTCTCTGCCAAAGAATGCTGGGGCCTCACCAAACTACAACTCCCAGGAGTCCATTGCATTGAGATATAGTGTAAACTGCATTAATTTTACTGTGTTGATCAGTAGTTTCCAACTTTTTTTTGACCAGGGACCACTTTGACTAGGGACCACTCTCCAACATTAGTACCAAAAGGGTTACAAATCAGTTTTTGGTCAAATTTAGATTCAATTTGGTTATTTGGGGTGCTCATTCAGAAAACTGCATTGGATAGACCACATCAGCTCTAGTTTCGGATACAGAACATATACCATCCAGTCAGGACCATAGCCAGGATTTTGATTCGGGGGGGAGGGGCTGAGTTTGATTAAAGAGGGGCTGAGTTTGATTCGGGGGGGGGGGGCGAGACCAGTCGCTGTCATTGCAATGTGGTTTCAAGGCAACTATGTAGTAATGGTGAGGCTACGGACCATATTTTCCCTCTTGCGGACCACTGGTGGTCCACGGACCACAGGTTGGGAACCACTGGTGTAGATGTACCCAATGCTATTCTAGTTTGCTTACAATAACAAGTGTTTACTCACATTTCCCTTGTTCGGTTTTACTTCCTTCGATGAAGAGGAGGCAGAGCATGCAGGCTAAAATAAACCTCACGTTCTCCAGTCTCCATTTCGTCCACATCTTTGCCATCAGGGAGACGAAAGGAAGGAAAAGATCCTCAGTTGCAGACAAGGCTGAAGCTGTGAGAAAAGAAAAGCTGAAGTTATTTCATCTATTGAGGATATAGTATAGTCTCAGCACTGTACATTATATCAGCTTTGGGAAAATTGTATCAACTTTGAGATAATTGTATCAGAAACAAGAAAGGAGATTCCATCTGAACATTAGGAAGAACTTCCTGATTGTGAGAGCTGTTCAGCAGTGGAACTCTCTGTCCCGGAGTGTGGTGGAGGCTCCTTCTTTGGAGGCTTTTAAACAGAGATTGGATGGCCATCTGTTGGGGGTGCTTTGAATGCAATTTTCCTGCTTCTTGGCAGGGGGTTGGACTAGATGGCCCATGAGGTCTCTTCCAACGCTATGATTCTATTATTATTATTATTATTATTATTATTATTAGCCATCCCCTGCCACGCGTTGCTGTGGCCCACATGGGGGTTCTGTGTGGGAGGTTTGGCCCAATTCTATCGTTGGTGGGGTTCAGAATGCTCTGTGATTGTAGGTGAACTATAAATCCCAGCAACTACAACTCTCAAATGTCAAGATTCTATTTCCCCCAAACTCCACCAGTGTTCACATTTGGGCATATTGAGTATTCGTGTAGAGTTTGGTCCAGATCCATCATTGTTTGACTCCACAGTGCTCTCTGGATGTAGGTGAACTACAACTCCAAACTCAAGGTCAATGCCCACCAAACCAGTGTTTTGCTGTGGCCCACAGGGGGGTTCTGTGTGGGAGGTTTGGTCCAATTCTATTGTTGGTGGGGTTCAGAATGTTCTGTGATTGTAGGTGAACTATAAATCCCAGCAACTACAACTCCCAAATGTCAAGATTCTATTTCCCCCAAACTCCACCAGTGTTCATATTTGGGCATATTGAGCATTCGTGTAGAGTTTGGTCCAGATCCATCATTGTTTGAGTCCACAGTGATCTCTGGATGTAGGTGAACTACAACTCCAAAACCAAAGGACACTGCCCACCAAACCCTTCCAGTATTTTCTGTTGGTCATGGGAGAACTGTGTGCCAAAGTTTGGTTCAATTCCATCCTTGGTGGGGTTCAGAATGTTCTTTGATTGTAGGTGAACTATAAATCCCAGCAACTACAACTCCCAAATGACAAAATCAATTTTTTTGAGTGAAGGACATACATTGGGTTGTTAGGTGTCTTGTGTCCAAATTTGGTGTCAATTCTTCCAGTGGTTTTTGAGTTCTGTTAATCCCACAAACATTACATTTTTATTTATATAGATTATTATTATTATTATTATTATTATTATTATTATTATTATTATTATTCAATGATTCTAAGACAAAGAAATACAGGAGATTCTGGAAGCTGTTGTCCAAAGAAGACATTTTCCAAATCTTTATTTTGGTGCATCTACACTGTAGAATTAACACAGTTTGATACTACTTGAACTACTTGGCTCAAAGCTATGGAATCCCAGGAGTTGCACTTTTACGAGGTCTGTAGACTCTTCTGCCAAAGAGTGGTGGTGCCTTGAGCCTTGGTAGATAAAGTGGAATCAAACTGCATTATTTCTGCAGTGTGGATACAGCTCTTGTTAGCATGGACCCAATTGCTTCCAACCAACAAGTGGATTTGTGTATCTGTGAGAGAAAACCAACGGAAAGCTAATAGCTAGAGCCAAAAATATTAAATCATTTTGCAAGTGTTATAAACGGTCTTGTTTTGGAATTTCTGATACATCGGCCACAAAACAAACAAACACGGCTTAAGGAGCCAACTGCTGTCAAAACCAGACCTTTTTCCAGAAGCTGCATGTGCAATGCTAATTCCCCTTTTAATTGAAAGTTTCCAGTCTTACAATAAATATACATGATGGGTTTTTTAAAAAAAATATTTTCCAATTGAGCAAGAGTCACTTTAATCCCTGGGCTTGTGGTGTTGCAATGGCTCTGCTTGCTTTCTTAATTCCTAGATTGCATCAACACTGTCGATTGAATGCAGTTTGACACCACTTTAACTGCCGTGGCTTCATGCTATGGATTTGTAGGTAAACATAAAGGTTTCTCCTTGACATTAAGTCTAGTTGAGTCCGACTCTGGGGGTTGGTGCTCATCTCCATTTCTAAGCAGAAGAGCTGGCATTGTCCATAGACACCTCCAAGGTCATGTGGCTAGCATGACTGCATGGAGTGCTGTTACCTTCTCGCTGAAGCAGTACCTATTGATCTACTCACATTTGCATGTTTTTGAACTGTTAGGTTGGTACAAGATGGGGCTAACAAGGGGAGCTCACCCTGTCCCATAAATTCGAACTACCAATCAGCAAGTTCTGCAGCTTAGCAGTTTAACCCACTGCGCCACCACGGCCACTATGGATTTGTAGGAAGCTGTATTTTTGCAAGGCCTTTAGCCTCCTCTGTCAAAAGTGCCAGTGCCTCACCAAACTACAAATCCCATGAACCCATAGCATAGAGTAGGAGCCTCCAGTGGTGCAATGGGTTAAACACTTGTGCCAGCAGGACTTTCTGACCGAAGGTCAGTGGTTCAAATCTGGGGAGCGGGGTGAGCTCCTATCTGTCAGTTCCAGCTTCCCATGCAGGGACATGAGAGAAGCCTTCCACAGGATGGCAAAACATCTATGCGTCCCCTGGGCAACGTCCTTGCAGGATGTTGTGCTGGTAGGAATCTGGGGAGAGCAAATTCAAATACAAGGAGAGGAGGTCAAGCTCCCTCTGTCAGCTCCAGCTCACCATGCGGGGACATGAGATAAGCCTCCCACAAGGATGGTAAAACATCTGGATGTCACCTGGGAAATATCCTTGCAGATGGCCAATTCTCTCACACCAGAAGCAACTTGAAGATTCTCAAGTCGCTCCGACACATACACAAAAAGCATGGAGCCATGGCAGTTCAGGTGGAGTCAAAATGCATTCATTCTGTAGCGTAAATACACTCATCGTGTTGCATCTACATGCTGGAATTAATGCAGTTTGGCACCACTTCAACGGCCAAGGCTCAATGCTAAGGAAATGTGGGAGTTGTAGTTTTACAAGGTCTTTACAAGCCAAAGAGGTTTGGTGCTTTACCAAACTACAGATCCCATGATCCTACAGCATTGAGCTATGGCACATCAAATGGTATCATATTGTATCAATTCTACAGTATAGATGCACTCTAAAGCTGGAGCTACACTGCGATATAATCCAGTTCAGTGAATTAATCTGCACTCTGAAACTGGATTATATGGTAGATCCAACCTAAGTGTTCTTTGGTATTCAAGAGGTGCTTTGAATTTCTATTTCATAGATAGATAGATAGATAGATAGATAGATAGATAGATAGATAGATGTGTGTGTGTGTGTGTGTGTGTGTGTGTGTGTGTATAGATATATACATACATACATACATACATACATACATACACATATACATGTATGTGGAATATTGAAATATCTTTTAAATTGTTTGATTATTGTTGTTTTTAAGTACTGTTAACCGCAATGAGTCGCCGTTGTAGGCTGAGATATTGCGGTATATAAGCATACAAAATAATAATAATAATCTTTTGGTCGCTCTGGACCCAAATGGCTTCCACCAGCTAACATAATTTTGCAAGGTTGAGACATGAAATGGAAAAAATATTCTTTGGGTGTTGCAAGAGCGACACAGAAGATGATGTTTCTCATTAGTAGTGGCTAATAATAAATCATTTAATGGTCGAGCTTGTCTTTCCATTGATGGAAAAATGAAGAGATCAAAGGAAAATTGACTTCCCCATAATGTTCCGTTGGGGATAATTTTCGAATGGAAGCCGCATCTTCAAGCTGCCTTCTTTCTGTAATACTCTCTTGAATGCAAAGAGGGTTTTTGGCTAAGGGAAAAAGCAAACCGGTTCCTGTTTCACCAAATAGCATAATAGAATCCTAGAGTTGGAAGAGACCTCATGGGCCATCCAGTCCAATCCTATTCTCCCAAGAAGCAGTAAAACTGTATTCAAAGCACCCCTAACAGATGGCCATCCAGCTTCTGCTTGAAAGCCTCCAAAGGAGACTCGACCACATTTTGGACTCTCTCTTTTGTCTAAGGATGCAGTGGAGAATGAATGCAGCTTGACACCAGTTTGACTCCCATGGCTCAATGCAATTGAATTCTGGGAGCTGTAGTTTTGCAAGGTCTTCTGCTCTCTCTGCTGAACCCCAACTCCCAAGATCCCATAGCAAAGACTTTGTCAAACTATAACTCCCAGGACGGTATAGCTTTGAGCCATGGTAGGGAAAATGCATTAATTCTGGAGTGTAGATGCATTGTTTTGCATCCAAACAATGAAATATTAATATTAATAACTAGCCGTCCCCTGCCACACGTTGCTGTGGCCGACATGGGGGTTCAGTGTGGGAGGTTTGGCCCAATTATATCATTGATGGGGCTCAGAATGCTCTTTGATTGTAGGTGAACTATAAATTCCAGCAACTACAACTCCTGAATGTCAAGATTCTATTCTCCCCAAACTCCACCAGTGTTCACATTTGGGCATATTGAGTATTTGTGTAGAGTTTGGTCCAGATTCATCATTGTTTGAGTCTACAGTGATCTCTGGATGTAGGTGAACTACAACTCAAAAACCAAAGGACACTGCTCACCAAACCCTTCCAGTATTTTCTGTTAGTCATGGGAAAACTGTGTGCCAAGTTTGGTCCAATTCCATCATTGGTGGGGTTCACAATGTTCTTTGATTGTAGGTGAACTATAAATCCCAGCAACTACAACTCCTGAATGACAAAATCAATTTTTTGAGTGAAGGACATACATTGGGTTGTTAGGTGTCTTGTGTCCAAATTTGGTGTTAATTCGTCCAGTGGTTTTTGAGTTCTGTTAATCCCACAAACGAACATTACATTTTTTATTTATATAGATAAATAATAATAATAATAATAATAATAATAATAATAATAATAATAATTCATTGTTTGGATGCAAAACAATGCATCTACACTCCATAATTAATGCAGAATTAATGCATTTTCCCTACCATTGCCAATAATAATTAATAAT